TGGGCTACGCCCCATGGGCTTGTTTTTATTTACTCGCTTTTTTGCAAATTTTGATACTTCCCGATGAGCTAGAGACTTTAAACTTGAAACATAGCTCACAAATGGAAGAAAATGCAATATTATATAATTTAATTTTCATATTTTCCTTGGGCTACGCCCCATGGGCTTGTTTTTATTAGCTCGCTTTCCTACAAATTTTGATATCAATTTTAAACAAAGTTCCCTATGAGCTAGAAACTTGAAACATAGCTCACAAATGGATGACAATGCAATATTATATAACTTAATTTTCATATTTCCCTTGGGCTACGCCCCATGGGCTTCCAAATTTTTCATGTTTACATTTTGAAAGAATGTAAATAAATCAATTAATTTAAGTCAGCTGTAAATACTTAAATGTGACAGTTCGAAGAGCAGAGGTTAAGAGGTAGGCCTACAAGTTCTGCTTCCGAGATGTTCTAAAAATATAACACAATTAAGCATTTCTAAGTTAAGATAAAACATCTTATTACAGATAATAAGGTTTTGGTTATGTATTAACAGGCCATATAAAATAGATTTAACCACATTAAAGACTAAAAAGTAGAAAGTAATATATAAAAAAATACTTTTTAAGAATGCCACGTTTTTAAACGCACTAAAAAGTTGACAATCTATAAGTATAAAAGAGGATGTGTTTGTATATATATATATACCGGGTGTCCAAAACCACCCGTACACCTCTTTCAAAACGAGGGAAACCTTTTCTTACAAACAAAAAATAATACAGAACTAGCTAAATTGGGTACGGTCTACCAAATGATGATAATTTCAAATCCAAAATCACACCGGAAGTGGCTTTTTCAGACCGGAAGTTGACTTTTTTAAATGTAAACCACCAATTTTGATTACAGAATCGGATTCTACGTTGAAAAATACATAACTTTTGTCTAAAAAATTGTTTTAAAAAACTTGTTTTCTACCTCTAATCCCCTATTAAAGTCAATAATTTTGGGTCATTCATCTGCCAAAGTTACTTGAAACAATAATGGAGAAAAACAAATAATAAAGATTACATAAAGACATGTGATAAATAGAATCATCCATACATTGTAAACACTATAGTAATTGAGTAACGGCTGGTCTACACATTGCTTAGTTTCATTTTATTTTAAAAATAAATCATTTGTTTTTACATTAAAGTGGTCAAATGTAAAAACAAATGATTACAACAACAAAAATAGATCACACAAAGTAAACAATGTGTAGACCAGCTGTTACTCTACTAAGGTGTTTACAATAAACAGCTGATTCTATTCATCATATGTCTTTATGTAATCTTTGTTATTTGTTTTTCTCTATTATTGTTTCGAGTAACTTTGTCAGATGAATGACTCAAAATTATTGACTTTAATGGGGGATTAGAGGTAGAAAACAAGTTTTTTCAAAAAAACGTTTTAGACAAAAGTTATGTATTTTTTAACGCAGAATCCGATTCTGTAATCAAAATTGGTAGTTTACATTAAAAAAAGTCAACTTCCGGTCTGAAAAAGCCACTTACGGTGTGATTTTGGATTTGAAAATATCACCATTTGGTAGACCGTGCCCAATTTATCTGGTTCTGTATTATTTTTTGTTTGTAAGAAAAGGTTTCCCTCGTTTTTAATGGGGTGTACGGGTGGTTTTGGACACCCGGTATATATATATATATATATATATATATATTTGTTTGGCAGTGATAAACTCAGACACCGCTGAACCAATTGCCACGAAACTTGGTACATATACGTGTAGAATTTCATGGAATAGGTTTATACACCATCAATTTCGTGATCCGTCCAATCGGCTTCGCCCCAGTGGCTCTGGAGTTTCCCATGTTAACCTTATGAGAAATGGAATTAATGAATCTTAACAGCTGTTTCAATTAAACAAGTTGGTTCTGTTCTATGATGTTCAATAGCATTAAAGTTACAAGGATTACCAACAGGGTTCAGCACTATTATTTCTTTTACATTTATGACAACAGCTAATTTGCAACCAAAATTACAACCTGGAGGCGAGTTAGCGTAGCGAACGAGCTAACCTGAAGGCAAGTGAGCACAGCGAACGAGCTCCAACCTAAAGGTGAGTGAGCGTAGCGAACGAACTTCAACCAGGACGTGTTGAGCCATGCGAACGAGATCATCTTGAAAATTAAGAAGTTAAACGGGGCAAAGCCCGCGGGTTACAGCTAGTAATTTATAAATATGTTGAGAGAATAAGTACTTGTAAGATTTAAAACGAAAAACGTGGGACGCATGCAATAGATCATAATAGTTCAATAGGTGAAGTTAATTGTAAATTAGCATGCACTCCACATTTTTCGTTTTAAATCTTACAAGTATTTATTCTCTCAACATATTTATAAATTATTGTCAACTTTTTAGTGCGTTTAAAAACGTGGCATTCTTAAAAAGTATTTATTTTATATATTATTTCTGTATAGGTTTTTTATATTAGTTTAAACAGTACAGTAAACTAGTTAAAAAAATTATTTGGTTAATAAAACAACCTTTGTTTTAAACATCGTGATATAGGCTATCTAGTGGTTTCACAGAAAGCTTTGAAAATCTGTGATACACAATGAGAACTGTCAAAGTGTCAAATTAAAATATTTTTGGCCTACAGTTAGTAAAATCAGTAAAATTATGGATTCAACCTTTTCAGTATGTTCACTACAGTAGTTGGCATTTCTACTGACTAGGGTAAAAGAGGCCTTCAACATGTTAACCAAGCAATAATCAATTGAAGAGGTCTGAAATATCTTAATCCAACAATGGATAACCCAATTATCCTTTGTCTGTGCTTATAGTTATGGTACATCTATGGTAATTTTGTGTCGTTCACACATTAATTTTTTTCTGACAAAACTTGGCTGTAGGCCTATATAAACAATATAGTTGAAATATTATGATGTTTCATCACTAGGACATAACGTGACTGTTCTCCAACCGAGGTCGGAAAATAAGGGAGGGTTTTATAGTCACTTTTTTCCCTTGTGATGAACCATATTTTTGTCATATTGCACAAAAAAATAAAATAAATAAATAAATAAATTTCACTACAGTACCTCATTGTTGATTTGTTCTTTTTTATAAGGAAATTAGATAACCCTAATGTTTTTTGTTTTTTTTTTGTATGAATATTGGCCTTATTTGACCTTTTGGTTGAACTCACAATTTAATAACGGCTTAGTATAACCTTTGACTATTGATACAACAAGAATTTCCCTCCCCATGTTAAAGTTGTCGCCAGTTTTTTAATAAAAATCTTAGTTGATGCCCCAGCAACCGAAAAATAGAGCTGATATCAAGTACTGATTTCTGTTGAATATACAAATTTTTACACCAAGTCAAACTAATAGAATGACTTATTGTGAGCTATAGCAACTGTTATGACCCATCAATTTAGTCAGCAACAAAAAATTGATACAGAATTTTTGACACTTGCACACTCTATGACTGGCTTTTTTAATAAGAAATTGGTGACTTCTGGTCCATAAAGATGTGGTCCGTATGGATGTATAACATTTTTGTCATTAATTTGATTAATGATAAATCGAAACTTGGCTCAGAAGCAATTTATTGGAAATTGTTAGCATAGAACTAGCAACTATCAGATTTAAAGGCACGCACGGTAGCTATTCAGTGAGTTTACACATTACCATCTTCATCAATCGCACCACACTGTTGGAAGCTATAACGTTTAAAAACAAAACATTGTTTGACAGGTTAAGTGTAAGAAAGAGCCATGTGGCCTTAACTGTTGCCTGTATAAATAAATAATACTATATGAAACCCGTAAAAATCTACGGTTAGGGACCTCCTCGTTTATATGGTCTTGCGGCTTCATTGGCAAAAAATGATGCAAATGAAATAGCATTGTGGCATTTCTAGAGAAAAACATACTGTAAATTGGCTTTTACGTAAATACTGACGTTTACATGCATTGTTAATCAACTTATCTTATAAAGGATAATGTGATCTAGTTTAAAAGGGATATTACCTTTCTGTCATGACAGTAGCTGCTTAAATAGTATTTACTCTAACAGCCAAAATATCGTGTTACTTTCAATAATGTTACCAACCCAGTGGTATGGCCACGGTCCGTAATATAGGCCACTGCAAATAATTTGTCAAGAAAGGTACCATTTTAGTCAATGTTTTTGTGTTTGGATGCTATTAGACAAGATAAGAGCACATTGAACTTCTTCTGCAGATGAATAACTGTTGGAGAAATATAAGCCAAATCATAATTGTCACAATGCCAGTTTGAGCATTTTGTAACTATATGAGGAAGTTACATAGTATTTTTTTAGGCTGCTGCTCAGTTCACTTTAAGAACATACTTTTTAAGAGATAAAATTAAATTGTTTTTGTTGCTGAGTAGTGCTAGTAAACATACACAACCCTTTTTTCGTTAGTCTAATAACACACAATTTCAAGAAAATAACATTGCAAATGCTTCCTTTGGACAGTTCAGTAACTGTCAATAAATGTGTGTTGTTTGAAATACAATTTAAAAATGAACAGCTGTTTCATTAAAAAGTATTATCCACATGGCCAAAATGTAAACAAATCTGTGGAGGGATCTTTTAAAGGCTTCAGGGGCAGAGCCCTGAGGGAATTTACTTTGTTTTCTTTTGATAACTCGTCTACAGACGAAGACATTTCTTTGGACACCCCTACCAAGTTTCTACGCCCAGTCGTTCTCTTAAATTAGTGGAGACAAAGTTTCCAAATAAATATTAAGATTCCCCCATGTTAATCTTATAGGAGAAAACACAATTTTGATGGAAGATCCAGCCCGAACTAATAAATATTTCAAAAAAATAAAAACACTTTGCAAAACTACAGATTAGGGCCATTCTTTTGACACTTTAATCATCAAAATCGGTCCAAAAATGAGGGAGGAGTTCTGTTTACAAAAATTGGTTTAGCGTATTATATATGTAGATTTCATTTCATTTCATTTTTTTGCAGATATATAAGGTGTTAAGGCGGAAAAACAAGGATCAAGCTGACCAACTACTAAGACAGAGCGTGCATCAGTTCGGAATCTTCTGTCAAGTTCGCTTACATCACCTGACCAAAGAACAGATCCAGTCATATCTTGGGTAAGGACCATCACCACTCCTAAAGCAGAGTTAAGGAAAGGAAACAGTTTTAGTCACATGTCGTCTATAAACAGACATTTCTTGCGTCTTGCGTGTACCTACTTCTGTGATTCAACATTTATATATTTTGTTATTAAACTAAACTGGTTCATAAAAAAATGCAAAAACGTTAGCAAAAGTCCTTAGTGTAAATCACCACAAATCGAAAATTTAAGATGTTGGAGGCCTCCTGTAACTTTGTCATAGATTGAATTTTCCAGCCCAAATTAAAGCTTATGGGTTTGTACATGGAACATATCAAACAAAAAGCATTTGTCCAGCGACTTCATTTTTTTCAGTGTGGGATCACTTTAGTCATAGTAAAATATAATATGGGTTGCCTGTCAACAGAATGGCCGGGACTGTGGCGTATTCCTGTAATCCAGCTAATTGGATGTCACAAATTGAGGATATTTATAGGCATGCACTGCGGATGTGATACTCCCTGGTGTGGATTAACGTCTGCACTAGTGAGTACTGTACTACGACTATCCGCAGTACTACCCTGATAATTAGACCAATCTGTTAATTAAAGGGGAAAATTGTGATTCAGATTCCACTATAAAATGTGGGTCCCTTAGTTGCCATTGGCTGTATGGGCTATTAATTAACAGATGTGTCTAAGGAACATGTCAGCCTTAGTCACCAACAAGACTACAAGATAGCGCCACTCACCCTACACTCATCTCCATTCATTCTTTCCTTAAAATTCCTTTAAACATTTGTATAGTCGCCATTTCAGAATAAAGTATAATTTATTTTTGTAAAAAAATACAACCGACTTCAAACGCTCTAAAAAGAATGAAATAATTTCAATTAAGTAAACTTTTGTATTAGGCAAGCTCACGTATTTTAAGTCGGCGCGGCTCTATGATGATTTTTGATACAAAATTGAAAGAGGGTGTCCATATTGCAGGTGACTATCTATAAATAAAGGTGTTAATCTGCATGTCTTTTTCATAGTTATGCGTTAAGTGTTATTTTATTACCGTAACAGAGATCGGCATTATCGTGGTATTAACGAGTATCTTTTAAAAGATTATAACGCATTTAAATGTTTCTAACTTGGAAAATTACCGTTTTAATACTAAACTAGCTTCTTTTCCCTATCATAATATCAAACTAAATTATTTTCCTATTCATATAGAACATTTGTGTGTGTTATTTTCATAATGCTTTTTTTCTGAAGTAAACATAAAATACAAAATATTTCCTTTAATATATAAACAAAACAGTTCAGTATGTTTTTTATATGTTTATGTTATCCAGCTACAATTTTTTGATTTTCAAAATACACACACAATATTTAATTTCAATCATGTTTGCAGTTTGAGCCGCGCCGACTTGAAATACGTGAGCTTGCCTAATACAAAAGTTTACTTAATTGAAATTATTTAATTCTTTTTAGAGCGTTTGAAGTCGGTTGTATTTTTTTACAAAAATAAATTATTTCATGATTTTTAGTGACTGTATATTTTTTTATATATTAATTACTTGAGGTTTTTTGATAAGCAAAACTGTTTGAAACAATCAAAAGTTCCACAGAACAATCATTATTTTAAAACTGCTTGAGTCACCTGTTCAGGTTACATAATCAATGGGTATGAAAATAAACATTTTTAGATATTCCTTTAGAAAGAAAGAGTTGTCCATTACATTAGGCCTAATGAAAAACTAATTGTCTTTTCTAGATACGTTGAAATGCCAGACATCATCGTGACGTTTCCTGCAATCGGTTTTTTTCTACATTATAAAAAGAAATACAGTAACGTCTCAAGCCTTTTGGAACAATATGAAAGTTATTCCTCAGCCACCAGCACTAAAAAATCTCTCAAAAGTGGAAAATTGGTCGTTAACACGTATAGTACCTTTGGAAAATATTATATGAAAGATTGGTTCAGCTAAAAGTGGTGTAAGTCATGTAGGGGGTTTTGTTTGCTCAAGATATAGCCTAGTCGAAATTGCAAATCATCTTCCTCTAGGACTTTCCGAAGTAGGCATAATAGTATTGATATGTTGTAGTAACTGGGTAGAGAATATTAATAAACATTCCACATCTGCAAATGAAATATGTATATGAAAGATTGGTTCAGCTAAAAGTGGTGCAAGCCATGTAGGTGGTTTTGTTTGATCAAGATATAGCCTAGTCGAAATTGCAAATCATCTTCCTCTAGGACTTTCCGAAGCAGGCATAATAGTATTGATATGATATAGTAACTGGGTAGAGAATATCAATAAACATTCCACATCTGCAAATGCATGTTTAGTAATTAAAATATTTAACACTTTAAAGACAATTGACGATTATGCACTGTCACACTTCTTAGGTCGTGTAAGGAATAATTGCATTTAATTTATATTTAGACCTGTTTTACGAATGCTTTGGTTTTCACAATACACCTTTATTTGTCAATATCATACAGCTATTCACTGAAACATATATGTTTTTGTAAGTCAGAATATTCAATACTAATAAAAACAGAATGACTGTATACACAAATCAGGTCAAACGTTAAAATACATTTTTTATAGTAACCAAAACAAAATGCATTTTTCTCAATGTAATTCATTTAGGCTCCATGGCAAGAAATAGTTTATTGATCAATATGAAGCAACTGTTTCATGAAGAATTGTCTGTAGCTTCATTTAAATGGTTTCAACTAACAGCTGTAGGAATGTTATTATTATTTATTGCCTTCTCTGCAAAAATGTAAACAATCTGCACAAATGTAAACAAAATAAATAATGAATATTTAAGGTTTTCAGAATTTTTCACCGAAACAAATATTATACTTAAACATAATATATAAGGTACCAAATAGAAACTCTCCTGGTTATTTAGGTGGTGGAACCACACTGATCGGTAAAAGAATCACAGAGAAATTGGTGAACATACATAGAAAAAAAAAAACATCGCCACAAACAAATTGAGAACCTCCTCCTTTTGTTGGTAGTGGGGAAGTCGGTTAATTAAAAGTATTAAAGTATAGATTGTTTGGAAAAAGCAAAGTGGAAACACTTTACTACACCACTGCTTTATAACTTGCCAAAATGATTAATTTATTATATTTGTAACCTATTGCTTAGTTTCAAGTTTTAATCCCTAACTTGCAAACACTTTTCATTGTGTCTGATATATTTTTAAATTGTTGTATTTTGTTATGCTCTTAAAGTCCAATTGTAAAGTTAAAAACTTGTTTTTCGTATTTAGTTCATGTCCGGTGACACTGATTGCTAGTGCCGACAAAATTTTGTTTCTATTACTTTAGGATTAATTTAATGATTTGTGCTTTACTGTTTGGTTACCGGTATATAACTAGGGGACGAGTTGTTGTATATGTTTAGATAGTTTATTTGGTTAAATGAGGTTTTAAATGACTGAAATTACAATAACAAATTGTAAACCAAACACGACCTCTACAGGGCACCAAACAGAACTAATAATAAAATTGGCTTCAGCTGTTCTATGGGGATGAGAAATCTACTAAGGGAGTTTGTTTTATCGAGGGTGTAGCTTAATGAAAGATATAAGTTTGTTACAACATAAAATACCAACATAAAAGACCAGTGATTTAATATGTTGACTGTGTAAAAATGAATTGTTTTTTGGTGATTTTAATTAGAGATTGTTGTTATGTTTTAGGAACAAAAGCCAACCTCGTAATATTGTATCATCAGCCACGGTGTCTACCAATGGTGAAGAATCCAAGAAGTTGTATGGTTATAAAAATGAAGAATCCGACACCGAAGTATCCCTCAACCAAGACACAAACCAGCTGTTTGAAATTAAAAATGAAAATACTCTACAAGAGAATGACTATAAAAAGGAAGCATTGTCAACCCAAGAAAAAACAAAAACAGATAAAAATATAAACATATTGAACAAGGAAGATCAAAATGATGCCAACATATCAGAAGTGAGCAGTGGAGTTCCTCAGGAAAACCAGTTAAAAGATGATGCATCAGAAAATGAATCATTACCAAACCAAGAAAAAACTGATAAAAATATAAACCTAATGAACAAAGAAGATCAAAATGATGCCAACATATCAGAAGTGAGCAGTGGAGTTCCTCAGGAAAACCAGTTGAAAGATGATGCCTCAGAAAATGAATCATTATCAAACCAAGAAGAAACAGTTAAAAATGTAAACGTTCTGAACAAAGAAGATCAAAATGATTCCAACATATCAGAAGTGAGCAGTGGAGTTCCTCGGGAAAACCAGTTAAAAGATGATGCCTCAGAAAATGAATCATTATCAAACCAAGAAGAAACAGTTAAAAATGTAAACGTTCTGAACAAAGAAGATCAAAATGATGACAACATATCAGAAGTGAGCAGTGGAGTTCCTCAGGAAAACCAGTTAAAAGATGATGCCTCAGAAAATGAATCATTAACGAACCAAGAAGAAACAGTTAAAAATGTAAACGTTCTGAACAAAGAAGATCAAAATGATGACTACATATCAGAAGTGAGCAGTGGAGTTCCTCAGGAAAACCAGTTAAAAGATGATGCCTCAGAAAATGAATCATTAACGAACCAAGAAGAAACAGTTAAAAATGTAAACGTTCTGAACAAAGAAGATCAAAATTATTCCAACGTATCAGAAGTGAGCAGTGGAGTTCCTCAGGAAAACCAGTTAAATGATGATGCCTCAGAAAATGAATCATTATCAAACCAAGAAGAAACAGTTAAAAATGTAAACGTTCTGAACAAAGAAGATCAAAATGATGACAACATATCAGAAGTGAGCAGTGGAGTTCCTCAGGAAAACCAGTTAAAAGATGATGCCTCAGAAAATGAATCATTAACGAACCAAGAAGAAACAGTTAAAAATGTAAACGTTCTGAACAAAGAAGATCAAAATGATGACAACATATCAGAAGTGAGCAGTGGAGTTCCTCAGGAAAACCAGTTAAAAGATGATGCCTCAGAAAATGAATCATTAACGAACCAAGAAGAAACAGTTAAAAATGTAAACGTTCTGAACAAAGAAGATCAAAATGATTCCAACGTATCAGAAGTGAGCAGTGGAGTTCCTCAGGAAAACCAGTTAAATGATGATGCCTCAGAAAATGAATCATTAACAAACCAAGAAGAAACAGTTAAAAATGTAAACGTTCTGAACAAAGAAGATAAAAATGATTGCAACATATCAGAAGTGAGCAGTGGAGTTCCTCAGGAAAACCAGTTGAAAGATGATGCCTCAGAAAATGAATCATTAACAAACCAAGAAGAAACAGTTAAAAATGTAAACGTTCTGAACAAAGAAGATCAAAATGATGCCATGGCATCAACAGTGAGTGGTGACTTACATCCTTCTCTAGATGTCAATAATAGTGAGAATCTGCGGATTGATACCACAGAAAAAGTCAATGTTATAAAAAAAAACTCTAACAACGATAAAATCCAGGAAAGAATACAGGAAAAACAATTATTACCTTATGATAACTACCTTCTGAAAGATTGGTGGATGAAATATAAATTTAACTTTTCGGGAGAAAAAGTATGTGCTTCATCACACTATGTTAATTGTTCATCTGATTACACTGCAGGGTGGCCAGACCTTTTTGATGAACCCATTTCAGAACTTGAAAAACCAGGAGACAAACAAATTACTTTAATTTTGAGTGAGATAGAAAGATTGGAAGAGGAAAAAAACTCTTTACCAGTATTAGAAAGTAGCTACTCAGAAAGTGAAATTATTTCAGATTGTGATAAAACTGTTTCCTCCCCTGAAATTCTTGCAGATACTATTCCCTCGTACAATTTAGCTTCAATCACAAAAAACACCAACAATACTTTTCTAATAGATAGCAACATTTCAAAAGATGATGATTTTGTACAAAGAAGACCCCCTCTTCCTTCGTGCTCTCCGCCAAGAATACCACCCCCTCCACCAATGCCAGTTGCTTCAGAGCCATCTTATTCACCACCCTCATTGCCATCTTCAACTGTTTCTATAGAATTACAGCCAGATGTGATAGCTGAAATTCCTCTGCCACCGTCACCACAAGATTCATCAAAACTCCATATCCTAGAGGCGACACAACATTCCATTAATAGCTCAGAAACTACAAAGCCAGTATCATCAAAACCCAGTTTAGTTTCTTTCAAATTTAAAAAGAGAACAAACCATGGTTTAAAGGTTTCACCTTTAGTTTCACATCCCACAAAAAAGTCTGAATTATTGATGTATCATCAAACATCGTCCTCTTTGGTGCCAACCGTACATAAAACATTTGATTCTGAATCACAAGGAAGTGCTCAAAGTAGTATTAATATAGGAACGTCAATACTGAAATTACTACCTGTATTACAAGACAATCATTCCTCAGTAAGATTAACCCCTTCACCTACTCCATCTACAGTCACCTTAGTCTCACAGTCTTCAACAGCATTACCTAACTTTCAGATGTCCCTGAATCCACCAGAAAAATATCAAAATAACACAGTGTTACAAACAAGTTTGGGAGTAAGTGCGGATAAAACTAGCAAAAATAGGAAAAACTTAACTCTGTGTAGAAATTTGCTAAGGAGAACAAATCTGCATACTCTTAATTGTTGGAAATCAAAATTTAAATGTACTGAAAATCGTATGAAAAAATCGAGAATGAGAAAGTCTAACTTTAAGAATGTTAAATTTAAAAAGAACACTAAAACAACTATGCGGCTAAAGCAGTTGCTTTCAAGGAAGAATAAGATTATTTTTTCATCCAAACAAAAATTGAACTCTCCTAAGACCAATGATTGCAATACACTTTACACTTGTGACCAGATTGAAATTGAAAATGTCTCTTTGGTGGATGAAGGCAGTAACTCATCCTTTGACATTTACGATGATATTCCCTCAGATATTTATCTCTCGCCCACCTGTTCATCGGCAGAAATAATCAAATGTAATGAAATAAAAACAATTGGCGAATTAGAGAACCTTGTAGTTCTCTCCAATGCACAAACATCATATGAAAACGCATTGTCTTTCGATAACAGAAACCCATTTGATCCTAATAAGTCAATCTCTACTCTCACCAAAGATATAGAGGCTTCAACTGATTTTAATCATGAGTTGCCAAAAGCAACCCGACTCCCTCATCTTGAAGAGACTACAGTTTGTGAAAATAACGAAAATGTCAGACAATGTGTTGATGAATCCATACCAGGAGATCCAGTTGCTATAACATATGTTGAGGATGAAGAAAATATTGAAATAGAGTTCAATCACACACTCAATGCAATGAAGACTGATCTAACGAATGTGTGTGGGATTTCAACCAAATCATCTCAAGAATCTACAGTTTCTTCAGCAGCAAAATCAAATATTATGGAAACGTTTCCAGATATGCTGAAAGAAAATAATGATGTGAGAGGAAATAAGGATGAAAACAGTCTAAGTAATGTCCAAGTTAAAAATCTGAATAAAGAAAATATAGTTTTTTCTGAATCATCTGAGACGTCTATAGCAAGAAACTCAACCACAGACATGGAATCATACCCAAAAACAATTAATACAACTGGTGTTTTAATGGAAAATGAAAACAACCTTTTGAGTAGTATACAAGTGACAAATATAAGAACTGAGAGTGTTATTTTATCAGTCCCAACTCCAGTATCTGCATCATTATCCACAGCTACTAATTCTACAATACAGGAATTAGATAAACAAATTACCAATAACAAATTCAATTTGGAAGACAAGCCCGATGATGGAAAAAACATTTTAAGAGACTTGCAAATTTCATCTTCAGACGATGAGAGTGATGAGGAAGATTATGTCAGACCAAGAATTATAAATGGATTTGGCGATCCATTTGTTATATCACAATCCAAATGGAATGATTTGCCTTTCAAGGTTAAAACTGAAGTATTGAATGATCTAAGGGATACGCCTCAATTAGAAATCAACACAGATAAACCTGCACCTTCAACTAAAAGAAAACACAATGACATTCCAACAAAATCACCAAATTATCTTAAAAGCGATAAATTTCTACTCAAACAGAGTGTTCCTGTCATATTAAAAACAGAAAGTCTTGCAAAAAAAGTACAAGAAGTTTCAAAAATCTCCTCTATCAGAGGTAGTGGGATTAAAAACAAAAAATATCATTCAAAAGATCGTGTACTCCCATTAAAGCCTAAAAATCAATTTGTTACTGCCAAGAATAATGATCAAAGAAGGATCCATAAATCAAATAAGCCTACTGATCGACACAAGGCCTTGGAGCAAGTTAAACGTTCCAAGGAAATTGACATAAATGTGGGTACTCCAGAAACACTTGGATCACCAAATACATTAAAGTCAACTGAAACCAGTAGTGGCAATCCAGGTAAAAGAGATATTACAATAACAAACCAAAGGAGAGTTAGTGATAAAAATAGTGAAACTAGGTCCTATATCCCAGTTCAAAATGTTGTTAGTACTAAAACCACAGATGATAAAGATAAAAGAAGTGCCTACAATGCAAGCCCCGGGAAAAATTCAGAAGTCGTTATTCCACCCAATAAACCTGATCAAATTGAAAAGACTTATCAACCTTCAAGTGTGAGAAAAAGATTAAAAAGTGAGGTTGAAAATATAATTCCGATTAAAAGAGACAGTAAAAAAACAGTAAGAAATTGTATACAGAGAACGTTTTCCTTACCAGAACAATCAAATTCAAAACTAATTAATCCTGTATTTGATTCAATTTTTAAAAGTATGGAAGAATCACCCCCTCCAAGATCATTGGCCATTAAGGAACCTGAATCGCAAAAGTATGTTGCTCGACCATACTGGTGTACTGAAAGTTCTAATTCTACAAGCTTTGTGAATCAAAATAGAAAGGATATCTCTTCTGAAAAAGATCCGTCGAATCTTCAGCCCAAGCCTACATTCTCTAACAGCCAGCTTGTGAAAATAGATTCATCGGGCAGAGCGTTGGAACCAATAAAGGGCTTAAAAAGAAGTTATCATTTAAGCTCAGACATTCATGGAAAAAAGTGGAAAAGTAGTAACTTAAATGTAAAGCCAAACCAAAATATCACATCAGATAAATCCAGTGGTAAAGCCAATACGAGTGTCGGTAACATCTCTATTCAGGATAAAAAGTGCTCCAAGAAATGTGCCGTGAAAAAGCAAGAAAATATAAAAAAAGGAGAACGTGTCAAGACTAAAAATGTATTTTCATCCACACCAAAAAGTGGTGATTTAGGAAATGATATCAAAAACAAAGAAATCACAAGGGAATCTTTCCCATCAATGCCCTCAATTGAATTAAATACTGATTTGGAAGGAGTCCATTCTACCAATGAACAAGGCATTTCTAACAAAAACAAAGAAATCTCAAGGGATCCTTTGCCAAAAATGCCCTCAATTGAATTAAATACTGATTTGGAAGGAGTCAATTCTACCAATGAACAAGGCATTTCTAACAAAAACAAAGAAATCTCGAGGGATCCTTTGCCAAAAATGCCCTCAATTGAGTTAAACAATGATGTGGGTCTCCTTACTAATAAACAAGACAATTCTAACAAAAACAAAGACATCACAAGGGAACCTTTCCCATCAATGCCCTCAATTGAGTTAAACAATGATTTGGGACTTCTTGCCAATAAACAAGGCAATTCTTTAAATTATAGCAGCACATCCAACAAAGTATTAACCAACAGTAGTGTCTTCAAACATAATCGGCCGCTTTTGATTTCTGCCAAAGAGCTAAATAAGCTTAAGTTGAAGGTATCAATCCCAATATTTCACTTCTATTCCATAAAAGCTTGCAAAGAAAAACTACTAGACGAGTTGCCCCCTATAAAGAAAAAGAAAGCAAAAGACAGTGGTTGTAGCATAAGTAACCTGAGTTTTGAAAACACTCCTGTAAGAGGTAATAAAATGTGTAAGATGAAACAACAAAAAATTAAAAAAAACAAAGCACAAAGGAATAAGAAAAGCAAAGCTCTGGACATAAGCACAACCAAAGAAAATTCTTCTTTTAGAAATGTTATGAATTGTGACGAGGCTCAAAAGAAAATGGATAAAAAGGGATCAAAACTGAAAAGGAAATCTAGCCCACTGACAAAAGAAGTCATTAACCAACTTAAATGTGAAGATAATTTTACATTATATGATGGTCCTGGTTTGTTGATGGCAGACTTAAACTCACAACCAAAACTCAGCCAGGCTGAGACAGTTCAACTCAGTGGTACTCGATTAAGACAAACTTCAGTTTCATCTGGCTGTGGAAGCCCAAGTAACCAAGAGACATTTTCTTCAGCCTGTTTGAAAACCAATGTAGATTTTAACGAAAACAGTAGCAAGCCACATCCACTTTTATCAAGATTGGATAGTGAACAAGAAAATGGTCAAGCCACTAATGGTTCTGCTAGAAAGTCAGTGGATGATAGTGAACTATTTACTCAAGATATCCATCCTCTAGAATCAACTAATGACAAGGTATTAAGTCGTAGTGAAGCTACAGCAAATAGACCTTTAACATTAAGAGTTAAGTCTCCCAGTTCATTACAATCAGGACCTGATCAGCCATTGGGACAAAGCAGTATAACGAGGCGCCGCATTAGTGTCTTAAGTCCTGAAGCCCTATCAAATCAAGTTCAACCAAATGATCAAGAAAGTGTCAAGAGGACCACTTGGTATGTGGAACCTGAATCCACTGACAATGCACAGCTTGAAAGAGCTGAAGAAAAATGTCCAGGCAAAAACATAAAATCAATTTTTAACGACTTTTTTTGTGAAGAAAATAGAAAAAAAGAGTTGATATCATTATTTGAAATGTCAATTAAAATGGCAAGTAAAGAGTATGTACAACTGGAAGATATTATTAAATGCATACAGTTTGACTATGCACAAAAAGGTGACTTTATCGAGAGGGTGAAAAAACTTAAATCTGTTGAAGTAGTTGAGCTGGAAATCAAAAGAGCAACAAATGAGTATGAACGCAAGCTTGTTGAAAGAAAGAAATTTTTACAGAAAACATTTTCTAATCTGATAGACTATTTTAAATGTGCATCTGATTACTTTTACTTGTCAATATATGTTTTTCTGTCTCAAAAAATTCAGCACATATGCAATGACACTGATTTAAAAGAAAGTTTGTTTCTTGTATTCAAAAAGTGGATTAGAAATGATAGGAACAAACATGTTTTTGACCAGAGTGAAATGGCTTTCATCAATGACTGTAGTATTGTACTCAAAATACTGAATGAAGTGAAGGATTTCCCCCTCCTAATAAGTAATTGTAACACATATGTCTCAAGTCGATGTTTGAAGATGGAAATGGAGCAAGAAAGTACTCCTGTATCAAAAGAAAATAACTGCAAAGAAAATGAAGCTCTTTTCAGTTCCACAGTGACAACAAATACCATTAGCAACAGTGCTGAATCCTCTGAACGTTATAATTCAACTCTGGAAAATGTAGATCATAATATAATCCAAACTTCCACTTGTCAGTTATCCCCCCAAAACAGGGAAAACTCTCAGGTCCCAAATCTAAATACAAATGAGATATCACAAAACGTAAATGAAATTTCTACCTTAACCTCAGTTATTACTAGGGCATTAGCCAATGACAAAAATGTATCACATATTTCTGGCAATCATCTACCAACAGATGGCACTGGGGTTGCTCCAAATTTTAGTACATCTTCTATACCAGAAGATCTTATGGTTGAACCACCACGACAGGGATTAGGAAATAGGCCAAATAATACTGAAGTCAACATGGTTTTCAATCAAAACAATGTATATGACGTCACATCGACTGGAACTATGAGTCAACATATTCAACATAACCACCAAAGGAATAAACAAGTAAGGAATAATTTATCTACCTCATCCAACACCGAAAATGTAATGACTGAAAACGTTGGCAGAATACCTCAAATTCCAGTAATAAATATGTCAGTTTCTCCTGTTCATCCTGCTATGCAGAATGTTACCAGCAATCAGCTGCCAGTATTTCAAACTGTAAATGGTAAAAACACTCATGGTAAAAACACTCAGAATTCCCAAATGACTCAGCAAAGCCTATCTAATACCAGTTGTAACCAAGTGACCAATATCACCATGGTCCAAACACAACCTGTAGTCACTGTGTACCAAGTCTTGCCGTCCCAAGAACAACCAGTTCATTGGAGAGGAAATACCATTCAACAACCATCAGATCATCAAAACAACAACATTCTGCACAGACAAACTACTACTGTTGTAAACACATTTGTGAGTCCACAACCTTCTCCGCACTTCCAACAACTGCTTGATAAACAACAAACACACCTTGTTAACACTCGTAATCAATTTGACCAGCAAATATTGTGGCAATCAAAACACCAAAGTCCTCAACCATACATTAATCAGTTTGCAAACTTGAATCCAAATACGACACAATATCCTCACCAGAATGTAATGTATCAAAACGTTCGACAGACCCAAATGGGACGTAGTTTGGATATGCATCCTCATCAAAATACTGGGATGCCTGGGTTTGGTGGATTCCCTCAAAATACTGGACAGAACACAAGTCATAAAATGCAACAGCATAACTTGTGTAATGAAACATCCGTGCATCCTCATCAAAATACTGGGATGCCTGGGTTTGGTGGATTCCCTCAAAATACTGGACAGAACACAAGTCATAAAATGCAACAGCATAACTTGTGTAATGAAACATCCGTGCATCCTAATCAAAATACTGGGATGCCTGGGTTTGGTGGATTCCCTCAAAATACTGGACAGAACACAAGTCATAAAATGCAACAGCATAACTTGTGTAATGAAACATCCGTGCATCCTCATCAAAATACTGGGATGCCTGGGTTTGGTGGATTCCCTCAAAATACTGGACAGAACACAAGTCATAAAATGCAACAGCATAACTTGTGTAATGAAACATCCGTGCATCCTAATCAAAATACTGGGATGCCTGGGTTTGGTGGATTCCCTCAAAATACTGGACAGAACACAAGTCATAAAATGCAACATCATAACTTGTGTAATGAAACATCCGTGCAGCCAGTCAGACAGCATTACAGTCAATCGAGGCAACCGAGAACACAAAGCTATCAACAACAAGCCGATGGTAACTTATCAATTGTTACCAGAAGGTCTAGCATGGAAACCCCTCAGACAGTTGATGTGCAACAAAGGACTCAGTTTATTCCCAATGTTTCAAGTTCCAATGGACACTTAGCTACTACACCGTTTTCTGATGGGCACAGCCAACATAGTATAAATAATGTGTCTTATGACTCGCTAGTTTCAGGACAGTTGCAAAGTAGGAGAACACCAAATGAAGTTCTTGAATCGACAGATCCCTTCACTCAGGATGAGCTTGACAAATTATGTAGTATAATCGATAGCGACAGGTTGATGGGACTGATAGATGGTACAAATAAAGTAGATAACAATGATAACCAAAGTTTATCCAGCAACATATTAGATTTTAACAGCACACCAAAAGACCTGCTAAAACCAATTAGCTTCACTGATAGTAGACGTGCAGCACTAGTTAACATCAATAAAAATTGGCAAATTATCAGTAAAATGCCAGATAGTCACTTGAACTTTAATGGTGTTAATGTAACAAAAGGGCAGTTATTACGTTTTGTCAAAGATTGCAAGGATCAAGTAGCCTCTGCAGGTTTGAAAGAGGATGGTGAAACAACTTTTATTGGGAACTACCCGTTAAGTGAAGGGGGTTTCTTGGATCAAGAACAAACAGCGGCTTTGATGAGAGGAGTGATTGCAATGAATGCTCGAACAATAACAAAGATAAGAATAAGGGAGACAAATAAAGAAACGTCAAATTCCATGTTGATAAAAGCGCTGAAACTGACTGCTTTCAAGGATTTTTCCAGTTATTTGAGAATCATAAGCATCCTTAAGAAATTGGCTGAAAATGAAAAGAATACAGACGCAATTCGGGCTGTTGAAGAAATAGCTGCCATATTAAGTCCATTCAAAGCACCAAACAAGGTAGGGTATTAAGAGGCTTGATAAATTTAAGCTTAATAGTGTATTAATTTGGTAAAAAACTAAAATTCAGCCTCTCTTTGTAAGCACTTTTACGTACATAAAGGTCGATTCACACACATCAGTTACGGCACGTCACAGTTCAGTCACTTCAGGCAGTGGCGGCGTTAAGAGCCCGCCCCCCCCCCCCCGCATGTTTGTTTGCCGGGCCCCCTCCCAATAATCTTGAAAAACATCACATGTATTACCGCCTAAACTTGCTCTTTAGCTTGGCATGGCATCTCCCGAGGCACCGATGCTTCATCATCGTCTTTCATGATCGCGGTAAATTGTGAATATTCCCGTAGTAATGGAAGGAACATTTATTATCATAGTCTACCAATGATTGCAACCAAACCTATGACATCATCGGATAACAACATCGTCTCCCGCGTTAACGGCCCAATCCCTAATATCTTCTGCTACCAGTGGTGATGGGGAAATAATTTTTTCCTCAATAGCGGCAAAATTCTAGATATATCTCTCACTGAAAAATAAACGTAATTATTCTCTTTCCCAATGACGGCAAAATATTGAACCATCTCCTGGGGCCGTGGAGACATTGTCATCGTCACCCACGGAAAAATGTTCTCGTCGATATCTGTGATTGCGGTAAAAGCGTAGGCCTAATCTTTCAATTTCGTGAATTCGATCCTTGCGGACATAAAAGCTTTTACTTTTAATTGGGCATTATTGAATTGAGTACTGAGAAAATCGGCTCGAGATAGATTTTCTAACTTTGTGCTTAACCTCTCAAGCTTGTAGGCCAGGTTCTGATTGGCTTGAAAATGTAAATTATATAAAAATTTACAGTTTCCAAAGCAAACTGATATAGAACTGATCTCATTTGGCCCGAGGCCCATAGATAAGTATAATTTTTTACCTTACTCGAAGTAAACAAATCTTAAGTGTAGCCTCCTAATAGTAAGAAATGAAATTAAATGAAAATCCTTTTTTAGTAGCATCATTGAAAGAATGGAATTATTTATCAGCTAGTTAGAGCCACCTAGGTTAGTTCGCCGAAGCAACCCTGCATGACTGATGACAGACAATTCTTTTACCTAGGTTGGTAGAGAATTTATATCGATCGGTCAAGTAATAGTGTCAGTTTAACTGTTGTAAACTACTTGTCCTAGTGCTTTTATACAGATTATAACAAATTTTCGCCATAAAAAAACTTATGGTAATTCTCATATAAATATTGTTATGATAGGGGGCCCGTGTGGCTGAGCCTTTCGCACAATCGCGGGCCCTTGTCCCGGTGAAATTTCTCGAAAAATCCTTTAAGTCTCACAGGCCCCCCTAGCTCACGTCCCCCCCCCCCACGCATCACGGGCACTGCGGCCCGCTATCGCCGCCACTGACTTCAGGCACTTAACAGATAACAAAAATATTCTTTTAATGGATTTTCTATTGCACTATATACACTCATCCATCAAAGTTCAGTCTGTCGCTCTGCTGGCGTACATCAGTCAATTTCAGATTTCTTTTCACCAATATTTTTGGGTTGTTCGGACGCCTGACAGACGTGATTGAGTTTAGAAAATAGTACTTTTTTTAATTATCCAAGTTTATTTAAGTCATGTTTTTAACAATCAACGACAGACGATGACTATAAAATGATGGAATATTGTGTTTTAGTTGAACATTGTTGACTATAACAACACTGTAAATAAAGTGACGGAAGAGTGACCGACAGTTTGACTGAGAAATTGCGGATGCAACTGAGACCGGACTGCTGTGTGAATCGACCTTAACACTTTCAGTTTTATATAAAAACAGATTAGATTGGTCATGAATGGATAAATTAATCAGATAAATTCATAGCTTTAACACAAAACAAAACAAAAGTTGATTGCAAACTTGTTATCTTTACATAAAATTCTAGCTTAAAAGTACTTTATTTTCTTGAAATTAACTTCATCCGTGCATGCTTGATTTCATAATTATGTAGGCATAGCTAACAGCAGATTATATTGCCTTCATAAACATATTCATTTAATATTTTCCATACTATGGGTTTAAGACCACTAGATAAGTAGAGACATACTATTGTGTCTGGTTAATCAAGTGTTAACTACAGTATCACAAAACATAAGGTTGAGAACATACCTGTTCAGCAAAATGCTGACATGCTAATCACACAGAAGTAAGGTACAGAGGATACATTCAATGGTACACACGTAAGTGGCGTTTTTCACCAGTCACTGATGTCTAGAGCAAATTCTATTCGTCTTCCCCCCCTCTCCTTTTTCTCTCGCGATCATTTACTACTGCGCTCAAGGTCCTGTGCGCTATGTTGCTATGTTGCCATCGCCATTCGGACTCCTCTTGCTCGGTACAAGTACATTTCCGCCCCACCACACAGAGCTAAAAGCGCACTGTTTAGTTGTCCTCTGTGCAGCTTGTATCCTCTGTACCTTGTTTCTCTATGTGCTAATGCAATTAGATGATTTGTGTTATATTGGCCAATGTTCACATTAAAAATTATATAAAATCCAACTACTTTCCGAACATAAATGCACGCCTTTTTAAGCTTCCTTTTTTTGACATCCAGTCTGTAAATTGTTTATATAAATATTTATATGTCTTATATCTGCTTTTAAAATTTCTTTCTTTCTTCACACTCAATTTTGTTCTGAGCATTTCTACTAAACAAACATAGCCAAAACACTTGGTGTGAGCGAGCGTGACGCTCGGTACTAGGGTGAGTCATGCCTTTATCCCCCTACTGGTGGAGAGAGTGAGGTGGTGGCAGCCCCTGTTTTTAGATTCGTTCTTCAACCTGCGGTATAAATCGATGGTTGTAACAAATCTAGAGTTTAGAGACTGTTACTTAACATAAAATTTAAAAACTGTCCAAGGCTTTAAAAAACACATCAACACCAACAGCATAAGCAGTTATGTCTTTTGTTCACACTGGAGGGTTTCTTTAATCATTTGTTAGTTTAATGCTGTGTTCTCTTCTTTTCAGTGGGCAGAAAGCGATCAGGTGATAACAATTGATGACTGATTCTTTCACTGTAAGACAAAGTGGTTCAACCACTGCCATCAACATGCCTTGGCCATCGCCATGATGTCATATACTCTATCATAAAGAATTGTGTAAGAACATAGAAAACTTAAATGTTATTTGTGTTAAGTGTAAATTTTTGTTTGAATACGCTTATCTATATGTGTTGTTTGATTTAAAAATATAAGAAGCATTCATTTATGGAAAATATTTTTACGCTATTAATATCATATTGCCTGTTAATTTTGGATTATTACTGATATATGTTATGTTTTCATTGAGAATACTCAGTGTCAGATTTACTATGACGACTAAATGAGGGATGCTTTTTAGAGCCACAAGCAAAACAGGGCTGTAGCGTTTTGAACAAAAACTATATTATTTTTAGATTATTTACTAATGTTTTAATAATGGTGTCCTTGTGATCGCCAGGTTGGATCGCTGGGTTTGGATCCTCTGACACTGAGAATAGTGCAATTAAACAGGAATACCATTTGTTTTAATTTTAAATCAATTTTAAATGTTTTAATATTATGTAGTTACTACTTGCACAAATTATAAATTATAAATTATAAGTAAATTTAATTTTTTTCAGTAGCCTAGTTAGATGGGTGTTCTGTTAAAATTTTTAACTAAATGCAATTAATTGAGTAAATGTTACGATGTTCACGATACATATAGGGTTAGTTTTGTTCAGCATTTATAACAAATATTGTATAGGCTTATAACATTTTTAATTGAAAGAAAATTAAATGTTAGATCAGATGTAAGATTGTGTTAACTAGTCATTATAAGTTAAAAGGTGATTTTAGAATTTAAACCAGGTATTAGTGTTATAAAACACTGTACCAAAGAAATATGTATTTTTCGCCAAACTACAGAGTAAGCAGCTTCTTACTGTACTCTTTTCAGACGAGAAAGTAGTTTTTTTGTAGAAAGGGTTTGCGGTTCAAACATACAAGTTGCAGTGCAAGGCTAGCTGAGCGCAGGATTTACATGTAAAGTCAGCTGAGCTAGGGTAAAGTCAGCTAGAGTACAGTTAACAGTCAGTTTTACAATAGGCTTCAACAATACTAGGCTGTCGAAGCTGCCTCCCCCCCTCCTCATCACGTAGAGCCTCAAGCGCCACCGTGTGGACTGTTTAGATAATTTACTAATAAATTATATTAGAAGATGAATTAGGATACAAAATATATTGTAAAACTCCACATGAAACAATAGTCAAAAGAAATTAATTCATATCTGCTGCCTGATAAATCTAAATACAAGTTACAGTATTCCATTTTGATAAATTGGCAAAACGATAGAAATAATTGTAAGTTTATGTTATTCTACACGTCTAAATTTAAAAACATGAATGTTAGTATGAAGAAAAGTATCGTACGCAACTTACTAGGGAAGGTTTCTACGGTACTCCCATTAAATCCTGCACTCAACTAGCCTTGCAGGAACCATAAACACCTATGTCCCAGCGTTGTAGCGTAATTCAGCCAGTTGCATTATTTAAAGTGATTTATTCCCTCCTATCTCAATTTATTACTAACAAATCACCTATTTTGTAAATTTACCATCCCACCGGTAATTAGTTAAACAAGGGAAAATTGTTTCATATTGAAATAAGATATTATGTACATAAAATTTGATATGTTTTGTTACATTTTTGTATTAAATCTTTTTTACCAATACCTTGTTTTCTTTTTCATTATCACAACAACCACTCAATGTTATCATACTCCCTTCACAACATTTAGGTGGTTTTGATCCTATCATTAAAACAATTGACACAGCTCAACAGCTGAGGCTGCCAAAATGTCAATAAACTCAAAACTGCTACTTTATAAGAGTCCAGGACCGCCGGCTATCTTGGATTTTCTGCCCATAACGGCAATGTTTTTGGTTGAAGCATGTTACAACATTGTTTATTTAGATAGCAAGTTTCACAATATCTCAATAATTTATTTTTGTAAAAAAATCAACCGACTTCAAACGCTCTAAAAAGAATGAAAAAATTTCAATAAAGTAAACTTGTATTAGTCAAGCTCACATATTTTAAGTTGGAGATTAATAAACATTCCACATTTGCAAATGCATGTTTTAGTAATTAATATATTTAACACTTTTAAGACAATTGACTATCATGCACTCTCACACTTCTTTGGTCGTGTAAGGAATAATTGCATTTAATTTATATTTGGACCTCTTTTACGAATGCTGGTTTTCACAATACTGTACACCTTTATTTATCAATATCATACAGCTATTCAATATGTTTTTATAAGTCAGAATATTTAATAATCAAAAGAGAATTATATACAAATAAGGTCAAACGTTGAAATACCTTATTTATCGTAACCAAAACAAAATGCATTTTTCTCAATGTAATTCATTTAGGCTCCATGGCAAGAAATAGTTAATTAATCAATATGAAGCAACTGTTTCACGAAGAACTGTCTGTAGCTTCATTTAAATGGTTTCAACTAACAGTTGTGGGAAAATTATTATTATTTTTTGCCTTCTCAGCACAAATATAAACAAAATAAATGTTGAATATTTGAAGTTTTTTCAGCATTTTTCACCAAAACAAATATTACACTTAAATATTTATAATGCTATATATGGTACCAAATACAAACTCTCCTGGTTATTTTGGTGGGGGAACCATGCTGATCGGTAAAAGAATCACAGAGAAATTGGTGAACATACATAGAAAAAGAAAACATTGCCACAAACAAATTGAGAACCTCCTCCTTTTGTTGGTAGTGGGGTTGTCTGTTAAAAATATTGCAAAGCTATGGAATCAGCGGATGTGATTTGCTATTTACTAATGACATAGCCTTACGAACCAGTCCATACGATATATGAGATTGAAATAAACCAAAGTAAGTCATTCTGAGGTATTCATCTGACACAGATTCCCTAAGCTTCCAGAATAGATAGCTGACCCATGAAATCTTTTTACAAAGGTTGTTTATGTGAGCATGCCAAGACAGCTTGAAATCAATATAAATACCTAATAGCTTTACTGATTGTAAGTCTGGATTTAAGGAGGTACTAAGAATAATATTTTGAGTTTTACTTTGGTTACGAAGAAGTTTATTTGTGAAGAACCAGTTTTTAGAGCATCTTGATCCCTGGGCTTCACTAATTTCTCTGAAGATGCTCTATTTTTTCAGAATTTTTCGTAAAAATTGATGTGTCATCAGCATATATTAATTAGGTACGGACCTAGATCTTAGATTCTTTGAAAGATCATTTATGGCAATTATAAAAAAGAAAGGTCCAAGAACAGATCCTTGGGGCACACCCATTTTGATGTCCACAACATTATAGTTAGTACCCTGAACACAGACATATTGTTTCCTACTAGTTAGGTAAGACCAAACTTTTTTAGTGATTTCTCCTTAACTCCATAGAATTTTAGTTTATCTAGTAGAGTATTTGAAAAGTACACAATCAAATGCTTTGCTCAGATCTAGCAATGACAGCAACAGAACTGATTCTTTGTTCTCAAATATATTTAAAGAATTATCAACAATCTCCATGACAGTCGATGTTGATCTTCCTCTCCGGAATCTAGTAGGAAACAATATGTCTGTGTTCAGGGTACTAACTATAATGTTGTGGACATCAAAATGGGTGTGCCCCAAGGATCTGTTATTGGACCTTTCTTTTTTATAATTGCCATAAATGATCTTTCAAAGAATCTAAGATCTAGGTCCGTACCTAATTAATATATGCTGATGACACATCAATTTTTACGAAAAATTCTGAAAAAATAGAGCATCTTCAGAGAAATTAGTGAAGCCCAGGGATCGAGATGCTCTAAAAACTGGTTCTTCACAAATAAACTTCTTTGTAACCAAAGTAAAACTTAAAATATTATTCTTAGTACCTCCTTATATCCAGACTTACAATCAGTAAAGCTATTAGGTATTTATATTGATTCCAAGCTGTCTTGGCATGCTCACATAAACAACCTTTGTAAAAAGATTTCATGGGTCAGCTATCTATTTTGGAAGCTTAGGGAATCTGTGTCAGATGAATACCTCAGAATGACTTACTTTGGTTTATTTCAATCTCATATATCGTATGGACTGGTTCGTAAGGCTATGTCATTAGTATATAGCAAATCACATCCGCTGATTCAATAGCTTTGCGATATTTTTAATCGACATCCCCACTACCAACAAAAGGAGGAGGTTCTCAATTTGTTTGTGGCAATGTTTTCTTTTTCTATGTATGTTCACCAATTTCTCTGTGATTCTTTTACCAATCAGCATGGTTCCCCCACCAAAATAACCAGGAGAGTTTGTATTTGGTACCATATATAGCATTACTAGCTGTAACCCGCGGGCTTTGCCCCGTTTAACTTCTTAATTTTCAAGATTATGTCGTTCGCATGGCTCAATCACGTCCTGGTTGAAGTTTGTTCGCTACGCTCACTCACCTTTAGGTTGGAGCTCGTTCTCTACGCTCACTCACCTTTAGGTTGGAGCTCGTTCGCTACGCTCACTCACCTTTAGGTTGGAGCTCGTTCGCTGCGCTCACTTGCCTTCAGGTTAGCTCGTTCGCTACGCTAACTCGCCTCCAGGTTGAAGTTCGTTCGCTACGCTCACTCACCTTTTGGTTGCAAATTAGCTGTTGTCATAAATGTAAAAGAAAGAATAGTGCTGCACCCTGTTGGTAATTTTTGTAACTTTAATGCTATTGAACATCACAGAACAGAACCAACTTGTTGAAACAGCTGTTAAGATTCAATAATTTCATTTCTCATAAGGTTAACATGGGAAACTCCAGAGCCACTGGGGCGGAGCCCAAAAGGATTTTTGAAATAAGAATATGCCTATATGTTAATCGGGAATGTGAGCTATCATCATGCCAAATTTCAGCCCAATACGACCAGTATTTTTCGCGTTCACTTGTCACAAACATACATCCATACATCCATACATCCATCCATCCAAACTTTCTCATTTATAATATTAGTAGGTAAGACCAAACTTTTTTAGTGATTTCTCCTTAACTCCATAGAATTTTAGTTTATCTAGTAGAGTATTTGAAAAGTACACAATCAAATGCTTTGCTCAGATCTAGCAATGACAGCAACAGAACTGATTCTTTGTTCTCAAATATATTTAAAGAATTATCAACAATCTCCATGACAGTCGATGTTGATCTTCCTCTGCGGAATCGTGCTGAGAATCAGATAATAATTACCATCCTCTTGACCGTTGGGCGTTGACCATTTCTGGATAGGTCGCGTCAGTAATGACATAGACTAACCAACACTATGGGTAGCAGGAAAATATTTCAGTTCTGGCGGAGAGGCTGCAATTTTAGGTGGTTATAGTATACAAGTTTCTGAACCTAAAACCACCCAGACTCCAATTTTTAAGGACCTCGGTCGTCCGTAATGACGTCATCAAAATGGCGGCCGTAAGAGGATGCTGGGTCCCCATGAATTGGCTATAACGACCGAATTCCTGAACCGATTTTCATGAAATTTGGCATACAAGTGCTTAAATACATTATCTCGGCCTGGGTTGAAAATGGTCAAGTTTCATCAAGTCATTTCAAAATGGCGGCCGTTAAAACCTAAAATTAAAAGAAAAACATTCAGTGTTTTGTGTTCTCAACTCCCTCCAGAGATCTGCAGCAACCTATTCACTTTCCTTGCAATAAAAGGTTGCATTACCGTCTCTGCATTTCATGGAATAGGCAAAATACCCCCCCCCCCCACAGCCAACCTGCAGATTAAGTGAGTTTCCATTTCCCTGATTTGATTTTCAATTAAATCAATTTCAATAACATTTGGTCGCCGGAGCCTCGTTTTCCGTCTGTCTGTCTGTATGTGTTTTTTATAAATAACCTTATAACTCAAGTTTGAATCAAGGCACAAACTTTAAATTTGACACACTTGTGTATTTTAACGTGGTACACAAACATGCAAAAATTAATTTCGTTGACTATAGCCGTTTAAAAATGGCGGCCATCTAAAATCTTTGACCTCAAATTAAATGAAAACCACTAGAGTTACAAAAAAAAATACAAGAATAAGAAAATGTAGGAAATTTTATGCCAAATCAAATGACACATAGATCTTAAAGATCGGACAACAAACAGCTGAGTTATTAATTTTTTAAATAATTGAATCAAGGCACAAACTTTAAATTTGACACACTTGTGTATTTTAACGTGGTACACAAACATGCAAAAATTAATTTCGTTGACTATAGCCGTTTAAAAATGGCGGCCATCTAAAATCTTTGACCTCAAATTAAATGAAAACCACTAGAGTTACAAAAAAAATACAATAATAAGAAAATGTAGGAAATTTTATGCCAAATCAAATGACACATAGATCTTAAAGATCGGACAACAAACAGCTGAGTTATTAATTTTTTAAATAATTAATAATTTCTTTACTGGTTTCTAATTGTTATTGTTTATTCATCAAAATCATCTGATACAGAGTACATTACGTAACCTTAAACAGATCTCAATAGTTAAGGTAAAAATAGGACACTTAATACATTTACCATCTAGTAAAAAAATTAAAATGTTGTTGTTAGGGCAAACCAGCTGTCTTACATTGTTGTAACAATTTAGAAAGGATCAGATGATTTTAAAGAATAAACAATAACAATTAAAAGCCAGTAAAGAAATTATTAATTATTTAAAAAAAAACTAATAACTCAAAAAAATCATCTGATCATCATCTCAAAATCATCTGTCCAACCAGCTGTCTTACATTGTTGTAACAATTTAGAAAGGATCAGATGATTCTAAAGAATAAACAATAACCATTAAAAGCCAGTAAATAAATTATTAATTATTTAAAAAATGAATAACTCAGCTGTCTGTTGTCCGATCTTTAAGATCTATGTATCATATGATTTGGCATAAAATTTCCCACATTTTGTTATTCTTGTGTTTTTTTGTAACTCTAGTGGTTTTCATGTAATTTGAGGTCAAAGCTTTTAGATGGCCGCCATTTTGAAACGGCTATAGTTAACGAAATTAAATTTTGCATGTTTGTGTACCACGTTAAAGTACACAAGTGTGTCAAATTTAAAGTTTGTACCTCGATTCAAACTCGAGTTACAAGGTTATTTATAAAAACACATACATACAGACAGACGGAAAACGAGGCTCAGGCGACCCATGTTTATAATGTAAAATATTCATGTATTAACCCAAGGAATAATCCTGTGAATTTTTTCGAGAGAGTTCACAAACACCCTGTATAATAAATTTATTTCATTTTATTTTTATTGGCCTTGTTGAACTTGTAAATTTAATTATACATTTCATTATTAATTTCCAATATAAGTTATAAATGATAAAATGTTAATGAAAAACATATAAAATGATAGAACTTGTAAATTTAATTATACATTTCATTATTAATTTCCAATATAAGTTATAAATGATAAAATGTCAATGAAAAACATATAAAATGATAGATATCTATTAACGAAGCGATTTTGTAAAAAAAATGTTATTCCTTACGTTCTTCATACGCCTTGCGTGTATTTGTGTATACTAAATAATGCTTATACGGTCGAGGGGTCAACCATAAGGCCCCACTAGTTTTTTCTAGTGGGGCCTTGGGTCGACCGACGACGTACGGAAGGGAAGAAGACGTTTCAAATTTTATTTCATTCGTATTTGAATTTGAATCTGAATCAGAAAGAAAGAAAAAAAATTACTGCAAGTGCAAGTTGGCAAGTAGTCTGTTAGTCTGTCTGTAGTCTGTGTAGGGTATTTACTCAGGGGAGGTATAGAAGAGGCTACGATGACAGCTGTGGGCTTCTTATTAGCTGAGGGAACGCCATTACCGTAACAAAGCTGTTGATGGCCATCGGCCTCGGTGGTCTAATGGATAGCGTGCCGGGTTGATATGCGGTAGGTCCCGGGTTCGAATCCCGCTGGTAATGTTAACTTTTTGTCCAAGATTTTTTTATTATCAGCAAGTTTGGTTGGTTTGGTTCGGTTATTACAGTTTAATTTTATTATTAAGTAATTATAAAATTTTAATTGAGCAATTTCTAGTTTTATTTAATAAACAGAATTATTTTTCCGATTAATAAACTTTTGTTATATTATTTCTTTATCAGCAAGTTTGGTTAGTTCGGTTAGGTTATGATAGTTTAATTTTATAATAAAAAATAATAAAATTGAATTTGAGGCATTTATAATTTTATTTCATGAACAGAACTATTTTTGCGATTAGTAAACCTTCATTGCAAAATGGGCTCTCTACTACAGCGCTGTTCACGGAGGAATTTTGAACTAAATGCCTCATTCGTACCTCCCCTAAGTCAGACCCTCTGTGTAGTCTGATTTGATCCTGATTTTGTTTATTGTTTGTTTTGTGGTTTGTTTCTGATTGTATTGTGATTATTGTGATTTATTGTGAATTGTGAATTTTTCGAGTTGTGTTGTGTTGTGTATGTCTTGCTTTGAAGTGTCACAGTCTCTTAGGACAGGATTAATGACCTAACCAGGGTAGGTCTTTATTCTGTGGTTGTGTGTCGTGAGTGTTGTGATTGTGTTGTATTTTATAGGTTAGACCTTTACTTTAGGTGTAGGCCTAAACTCTTCAAGTACAGTAGGGCCTAAACTTACCTACTAATAGCAAGAATGAATCCACTTTTTAGGGTACAGTTTCTTAATTGGGATTTTTTACAAAAAGGGGTACTGTATTCGTTATAACCGTTAAATGAATAAATAAATAGTATCTTAACTGGGCTACAGTAATATCTATTGAAACTATCGATTTGATTAGTAAACCTTCATGCGATTTTTTCACCATCAGCAAGTTTGGTTGGTTAGGTTAGGTTATGATAGGTTAATTTTATAATGGACTACAGTAGCTGTACCCTCGGGCTTTGCCCCGTTTAACTTCATCAAGTGAGCTCGTTTGGAAGGCTCGTGGATCGTCGTGAAACTGGCAATTGATCCGCAATTACTCCGCCCACTTCTCGTACTGCCCCTCCGACGATCTCACGTCACAGTAAAACCACAAAACGTCATACCTCAGTCTGACTACGTCATCACTAGGTTGACATAACCTCCAAATAATCAGTGGCGGGAAATTGTTTTTCTTCTAGTAACATAGTAAAATACAAGATAATATATATATCCCTATAAGAGCCAACTCGATCATAGCTTATATATGTAGCCTAGCTTGAAAGAGATCCAATGATAGTTTTCTATCATTGGATCGCTTTCAAGCTCTCTTTCACTTATAATTAGTGATGTGGGCCGGGTAAATACCCAGTGGGTAGGTAAATATAAATTGGGTTTTTACCCGGGTATTTACCCCAGGCCCGGGTAAATACCCAAAAACTGGGTATTTATAATATTTATTAAAGTTAGAGAAGATTGAGATGTTTTTTTGCAATTATTACCCTGGAAGAATAGTAAAATGATGATAAAATGTGTTAAACAAAATTTCATACGGTCACTTCTAGCATTTTACTTCTGGTTATAATCGCCATAAATACCCAGGTCTCAGCATAAAGCATAATCGGCATAAATACCCTGGTCGCATGGTTGCACTGGTCCTAACTACTTATGATTTTTCTACTTATGAATTTCTATGATAGATAGATGAATTTATTTTATTGAAAGTGAAAAAAAATAATTTGTAAAGTAATAATTATTATTTAGAAAGACAGGAAAATTTAACCTAGTAGTGGCCTATGTGTAAACAACTTAAGGAAATAAGGGTACACTTCCATATAGTGATGTAAAATACCTGGGTATTTAAAACTCGGGGTAAATACCCTGGGTATTTACCCGGGTAAATACCCAAAATCCATAAATACCCGGGTATTTTGGGTATTTATGAAATCAATTTAAATTTGTTTATATTTACCCCTAAATATGTTATTGTTATCACTACATGATAAATTAGGATAGCCTATAACACCTTTTACAGTAACTTGAAGCTTTGATAGTACCTTTTATTTAATGATTTAGCACTTTTTTTGTAAATAATACATAAAGTTTCTTAATAAGCATGGGGTTTCGTGTCTTAAATCGAGTAACATCAGTTAAATTTAACATAATAAAAAATAGGATATTAAAAAAGGCTGTGGCTATTTCAATTTTCATCATTTTATAAATTTATAACCATAACATAAACAGGCTGGGTGTGCAGGTGTGCAGTAATAAAACAAGCCTGTGATGCTACCTTTGATTGAGAATGCTAGAAACTAAACACTCCCTATGAAATGAAATCAAAACAACCTCATCAGAGAAATAGTGAACCTACTTTTACTGTTATTTAATTATGATAGTTAAAATTTCTATTGTATAAATGGCTTGGAAGGCTAGACAGACCTAAGCCTGATTGACATAGGCAGAATGGCAGAATACTAAAAGTAATTAAACTCTTCTGTGTTACCGCTTAGTTGGAAACAATAATATATTTGGATAAACCTACTAAAAAAATGTAACTCCTGTTTTTTGGTCTAACTTAATATAATTTTGAAAGATTTATTGTGCTATAGATTCAAATGTTTTGTATCACAAGTTTATGAAATTAGTTTTTTTTTTATTTTGATACCATTGATACCAACAAAAGATCTAGAACAAAAATATTATTAAATCCTGCCATATCCTACAGATTGAATTTTAATTATTTTCATAAGTTGTTTACACATAGGCCACTACTAGGTTAAATCTTCCTGTCATTCTTTCTAAATAATAATTATTACTTTACAAATTATTTTTCTTCACTTCCAATAAAATAAATTCATTTATCTATCATAGAAATTACAAAATCATAAGGAGTCAGGACCAGTGCAACCATGCGACCAGGGTATTATGCCGATAATGCTTTATGCTCAGACCTGGGTATTTATGGCGATTATACCCATAAGGAAAATGCTAGTAGTGACCATATGAAATTTTGTTTAACACATTTTATCATCATTTTACTATCCTTACAGGGTAATAATTGCAAAAAAAACATCTAAATCTTCTCTAACTTTAATAAAAATTATAAATACCCAGTTTTTGGGTATTTACCCGGGCCTGGGGTAAAAACCCGGGTAAATACCCAATTTATATTTACCTACCCACTGGGTATTTACCCGACCCACATCACTACTTCCATATCTGTTGGCACAAACAACCGAATGAGTAATATTGATTATTCGACTGTTAAATTCGATATATCGATCAATATTTTCATTAGGTTTGTCCAAATATATTATTGTTTCCAACTAAGCGGTAACACAGAAAAGTTTAATTACTTTTAGTATTCTGCCATTCTGCCTATGTCAATCAAGCCTTAGGTCTGTCTAGCCTTCCAAGCCATTTAATACAATACAAATTTTTACTATCATAATTTAATAAAATTTGGATATTTATAAATTAAAATAATTTTGTTTATGCTATTTAATTGAAAAAAAAATTCATGAAAAAATTTAATTTGTTGAAAAAATTATGAAATGATAAAAATTGAAATAGCCACAACCTTTTTTAATATACTATTTTTAGTAAGTTAAATTTAACTGATGTTACTCGATTTAAGACACGAAACCCCATGCCTTTTGGAAACTTTATGTATTATTTTTAGCGAATTTCCCTATAGGGAAGTAGCTATTACCGTAGGTGGCACGGTAAGACCTAGACCCGGGACCGATTTACTTTTTCATTTTGATGTCCCCAGAGGCCAAAAACACCATTCGTTCAAATTTTTATATATGTATATATATATAGACTTATATATATATATATATATACGTCCGTAAACGCGATAACTTGAGTAATTTTTGCCGGATTTTGATGAAATTTGGTTTAAAGGTGTAAAGCGGGATAAACTTGAATGAGTTCGCGAACCAGCACGATCGGACCATGGGAACGGGGCTTTACGGGGGGTTTTATGGGGTAAAAATTGGTTTTTCTTACTTTTGACCCTCAAAACACAAAATTTCCCGATTTCTCTTCAGACCTTTTTAAAGAGCTTAAAAAAACAAATAATTTAGTATATAAAAGAATTTTTGTTCGATTATTAGTAACAGAGAAAATTAACAAAATTGTAAATTTAAAATTCCCATGTTATTCTTATGGAGAATATTGTCAAACGTTGTAGTTTGCTTGTTTATGGATATATTTTGATCAAACTTGGCAAATTTATTTATTTTGTACTAAGCTATCAATATTTTACTCAAAAACACACTTTACTAGTTTCCTTGTAGCAGCAAACCTAGGTACTCGTTAAACCTAATGTTATTAAAATATATTTAACTGAAAATCAATTCAGACAAATGGAAATTCGCTTAGACGGCAGGTTTGCTGCGGCGGGGGTATTTTTAAAGTGCTTCAGTAAATCATTAAATAAAAGGTACTAGCAAAGCTTCAAGTTGACTGTATAAGGTGTTATAGACTATCCTAATTTATCATGTAATATGATAACAATAACATATTTAGGGGTAAATATAAATGAATTTCAATCGATTTCATAAATACCCAAAATACCCAGGTATTTATGGATTTTGGGTATTTACCCGGGTAATTACCCAGGGTATTTACCCCGAGTTTTAAATACCCGGGTATTTTACATCACTACTTATAATGAATCTATTGCTGGCTATTTCAGAAATATTTATCATTAAATTTTGGATTTATTACCCAAATATCTTCCTTACACAGTAAGGGACTAGGTATATATACTTTCTTATGGGTTATATTGATCATAACTGAGCTATGAAGCCCAACATTTGTCACATGATAGAAAATAACCTTAAAGGAATCTATTGCTGGCGATTTCAGAAAAATTGATCATTAAGTTTTGGATTTTATTACCTTAATACGTTTCTTACATAGTAAAGGACTAGGTATATATAGGCCTACTTGCATATGGGTGATATCGATCATAACTGAGCTATGTAGCTCAAAAGTGGTCCAATGGTCAAAAAATGTCAAAATACAATCTATTGCTGGTGATTTAAGGAAAATCAATTGTTTAATTTTGGATTTTATTACCTTAATACGTTCCTTACATTGTAAAGGACTAGGTATATATACTTCTGTATGGGTGATATCGATCATAACTGAGCTATGAAGCTCACAAGTGGTCCAATTGTCAAAAAATGTCAAAATACAATCTATTGCTGGCGATTTCAGAAAAATTGATCGTTTAATTTTTGATTCTATTACCCTAATACGTTCCTTACATTGTAAATGACTAGGTATATATATACTTTCGTATGGGTGATATCGATCATAAATAATCTAGGCCTATGCAGTTCAAAAGTGGTCCAATGGTAAAAAAATGTCAAAATACAATCTATTGCTGGCAATTTCGGAAAAATCAAGTCATTTAACTTTGGATATTATTACCTAAACATGTTCCTTACATAGTAAGGGACAAGGTATTTATACTCTCATATGGGTCATATCGATCATAACTGAGCTATGAAGCTACAGCTGAGCTATGAAGGAAAATCACACGTTTAATTTTGGATTTTATTACCTTAATACGTTCCTTACATAGAAAAAGACTAGGTATATATACACTTGCATATGGGAAATAACTAGTAGCAAAGTATCCAAGTTTTCTCATATTAATATTAAATTAATTTTTTAACAGGTTCAGTCCCAGCCGGCACACTATCATGTATGTAAGGCTTCTCTCTACACGGGAGTGAGTGTGTTAATGAACAATTATTAATTTTTTCTGAAATTAGTGTTTCAGCAATCACCTACTTCTAAAATCATGTTCAATGTTTTAACCAAGCCGATTTTTAGACTGTCAGTTGCCATTTTGGTTAACGAAAACATTCTTAGAGTCTCTCCTGTCCTATGTAAAGACATAAAAAACAGGGGTTTTGCAAGATGGTCATCAAGAAAACCTTCAAAAGTCTTTACTCCGGACGTAATTTCATCTGGAGGTTTTGATACAGAAGAATTTTTCAAATCTGAATACACAGAAAGTTCAGAAAGTGAACAGGAAATTGTGAAAAAACAACTAAACAATTTTAATAAAGAAAAACAGCTGATTGAAACAGGGAAAACATCAGCTGATTTAAAATATACTGTTTTACAAGAAAACGATTTGACCTTCAGGTAAGTCCAGATCTCTTGGTAAAAAGTAGAAAAAATCTGTAACCCTACTTATTAGCGAATTTCCCTATAGGCTAGGGAAGTAGCCATGGTACTTTTGTATCATACGCAGACCACATATTTTACAGTGTGCTGTGGCGGCTATTTTAAGTTGGATTATCGTAAATATGTTTTTAGGAATTCCCTCTTTTCGTTATGAATCGAAGGATACAGGACGAGTCATACTTTTTATTTATTATAACCCAACCTAAACATAACCGCCGCAGCGCGCTGTATAAGGGTCGCATCCGTTTGATACCAAAGTACCGTAGCTATTGCCTTATATGGCACTAGTAAGACCTCGACCCGGGACTTGTCGATCCTGAGAGAATTCAGTAGCTTTTTGATTGTTCGAAACTGATCATTGGGCTTTGAAATAAATGATCCTGACTAATGAAACCGCTTATCCTCAATAAATAAATAATAAATAAAAATTTCTTTATTAAGCGTTTCTCTGGTACACCAGCTTTAAAGAACAACTTTCGTCACTATGCTAAATATCTTATTCTACTATTTGGCCGTTATACACTTATACAATAATTACTAATTTTTTAAAAACATATCCTTAAGTTTTTCTTTAAATGTTTTACTAGATACAACAACCTTCAGGCCGACACAAGTTCTCGTCCAACAGCAAACCCAGAAATTTTACTTGAGCATTGGTTTCAGTTTCAGTGTCGTCCAAAATAAAATTTTATTTGTTTTTGGTTTTCCTAATTGAGAATTCAACAAGCTTGAGTTTTTATTGGATTGATTTTGTGGAGATTTTCAACAAAATATATATATATATATTTGAACGTTATGGACTCCGAAACCGCTCGACAGATTGTAATGAAACTTTACAGCATTATTTAAGGATGGTTTGTGTGAAGTTTGGTGCAGATCCGTCAAAAGGGCTCCACCCCAGTGGCTCTGCAGTTTCCCATGGTAACCTTATGAGTACTCATATTTAAATGGAATTAAAGAATCTTAATAGCTGTTTCAACTAAACAAATTGATTCTGTGATGATCAATATCATTAAAAGGTTACAAAATGTACCAACAGGGTGCAGCACTATTAATTGTTTAGCATTATTAGCTATATTTATTTTTATAAAAGAGGAAGTTTGTTTAATAAATCATTTTTGATAGTGTGTGAATAATGAGTTTTATTTTTTAAGTGTGTAATTCATTAACTTATTGACTTTCTTTTTCCTAAAATGTTTATAAAAACCTATTGTATTTGTATGGTATATTTCCCAAATAATAATGTCTGGGAAACGAAAATAGACAGTTAATATTTTAAGTTAATACTTTTAGTGATCAGAGGAGATGTATTTACTTCACTCTCATTTATCATCACCTTACACACATACACACCCTTAACTGTGTGAGAAGTAATTGTTGAAAATGTGAGGAACTGGTACTACTTCTCAATCTTATTCTATACGACAGTGACGGGAATAATTACCGCAATTCCAGGGAATACTTCTATTAATAAAAGTCTACGCCGTTTACGTTTGGTAGGTTGTAGCTTCAACCCTATTGAAATTTCTTTTTGAGGTTTATCGGAATATTGTATCAAGTTTGGTGATGAACGTAATCCTGTGAAAAGACTCAAATTGACACAATCCCTGTCTAGCGGGCACTTCGACGTTTTAGAGCCACAAAAAGAGCCCGTTCTCCCAATCGTCAGCCGATTCTGGAATCTCAACAAAATAGATGAAGGCGTAAACGGCAAGCAGGTGCACAGACAAACAAAGGAAAAAGCAGGCGAAGAACGCAAGCAAAAGGTATAAACAAACTCATCCTGAAATACATTCGACAAAGATTTAATGGAGGGTGAAACATCTATCAACAATGACATAATCATCCGAAAATAGACTATGAAGGATAACATGAAGGTTAACATAAGGATAACATGAGAACTTTAAAAGCGACTGGGGCAGACCAAGGGACTTTTTCAAAAATGTAAAGGCAGTTTGCAAATGTACACACCTAGACGAAAATTTTGGTATATAATATGTGGGATTAAATCTTAAAACAAAAAAGCCTTATTGTTCCCAAAGTTTCATGTAGCGTATTAATAATATCATGTTTAACATTGAGATGATATAATGAGTGTTGTGTTACTGATAGATATTTTAGTAATGTAACATTTTAATGCAGTAACTCAAGTTTATTTTATCACAAATCTATATTGTAACTGAATCATCATATAAACAATAACAACTGAACAGAACATATGTAAATTAACAAATATAGTATAAGCCAGTACATTTGGAATGGACACATCAATCCTCCCCCTTAAATTTAGAAGGTAACATGTGGTTGATATGTCGCCTCCATATAGATCCATCATCCATTTCAAGAACGTAAATTAACTGTCCATCCTTGCTCTTTACTTCACCAAACATCCACTTGTCTCTGAAATCATAAGCTTGAACTCTTTCCCCCTTTTTAAAGTCTCTTATTCCCTTTGCACATTTAAAGTCACTGTTTGAAGGTGTGTTATTTGTTATCATCAAATCTAGTCTCGTTCTCACATTTCTCTGAAACATTAGGAAGTAAGAATTTGATCCAGTGGAGTTTCTTGATTGTCTCATTTGCATCAAGAATCTCTGTAACTTAATTTCCATATTCCCTCCTTCATCTTTCATGGCTTGTAGACCTTTCTTTATAGTTTGGACAAATCTCTCCGCTTGACCGTTGGAAGAAGGGTGGAATGGAGCACTTGTCTTGTGTAACACACCGTAGTTTTTCAAAAATGTTTCAAAAGTATGTCCACAAAATTGTCTGCCATTATCTGACACTAAAGTAAGTGGAATTCCAAATGTAGAAAACAATCGTCTTAATTGTGTGACACACCAATCAGAAGAAGTATTTTTTGTTTGAAATACCTCGACCCATTTTGTGTAAGCGTCAACGACAATAAAAAAATAATTGTTTCCAAAAGGCCCAGCAAAATCTATATGTATTCTTTGCCAGGGACCATCAGGGGTTTGCCATGGATGAGGAGTCGTTTGAGGTGGTTTGTTTTGTTTTAAACAACATTGTTTACAAGTCTTAGCCAGATGTTCAATATCATGATCGATGCCTTGCCAATAGCAGTAGCTTCTCGCTAAAGCCTTCATTTTAACTATTCCCAAGTGACCAAAATGAATTTCTGTAAGTACTTTTGATTTCAAATTTTTTGGAACGACAACTCTATTACCTTTAAATAAACATCCGTCTTGTAATGTAAATTCATAATCATTGTATCCAAGATTCTCAAGGCTCTTTCCTTCTTCTAAATGTTGAATGATGGTTTTAAGGCGTTCTTCCTTCAGTGATTCATCTGCAATCTGTTGTTTTGTAACTGGGAGTGTTTCTAATTGGTTGATTTGAAAGACAGAATAATCATCAATTGAGTTTGGTAGCGATTTTTCATGTGGAAATCTCGACAAAAAGTCTGCATTGCCGTGTTTTTCTGTTCCTCTAAATTCAACTGTATAGTCAAACCCTGAAAGAAAATGAGCGTAATTGAAGATTCTAGTTGCTGCCATAGTAGGTAATGTCTTTTGAGGATCGAATATGGACACAAGGGGTTTATGATCGGTTATCAAGACAAACTTTCGTCCATATATGTATGGAAAGAATTTCTTTAGTCCAAAATAAATAGCTGCAGCTTCTTTATCAATCTGGCTGTATTTTACTTCACTTTTTGTCAGAGTGCGTGATGCAAATGCAATAGGTTTTTCTGTACCATTTCCTAGTCTGTGAGAAAGAACTGCTCCGAGTCCTACAGGTGATGCATCTGTTGCAAGAGTAACCGTCAGATTGGGGTCAAAATGAGTTAAAATTTGTTCACTTGTTATTTCTTCTTTGACTTTTTGAAAGCTATTTTCACAATCAGAGCTCCAGATGAACTTAGCATTTTTTGTAAGTAATCTTGTCAAAGGATATACTTTAGTTGAGTAGTTTTGTATAAATTTGCTGTAGTACGTGGCCAAGCCTAAAAATGTCTTCAATTCACTTACATTTGTAGGTCTTCTAGCATTTTGAATCGCTACAGTTTTCTCAGGACTTTTGTGTAGACCTTTTTCATCAATAATGTGCCCGAGGTATTTGATACTTTTTTCAAAAAACTTACATTTGTCTCCATTCAAATGTAAGTTGTGCTTCTGTAGAACTTCTAATACCATCTCTAATCTCAGAAGAGTTTCTTCGTAAGTTGACCCCTGGACTAAAATGTCGTCGAAAAAACATTGTACGCCATCCATACCTTGTAGTAAGGAATCCATGAATTTTTGCCACAGGGAAGGAGCAACCTTAACCCCAAACATCAGTCTATTTACTTTGAACAACCCTTTATGAGTACTTAGTGTTTGCATTTTGCTACTCTCTTAATCCATTTTCATATGTAAATAAGCATTGCTTATATCAAGAGAACAGAAGTATTTGCCTCCACTCATTGTAGAAAAAATGTCTTCAATCCTCGGAATTGGGTATTTCTCGTCTTTCACGACTTTGTTCAAAGTAACTTTAAAATCAGCGCAGATACGAATGTCACCATTGGGTTTTATGACAGGTACAATAGGCGTTCCCCATTCCGAGTTGTCTACCTTGGTGATAATCTTTTGGGTTTCCAGACGGCTGAGTTCATTTTCAACTTTTGTCCTTATGGCATATGGAACCTGTCTGGCCCTTATGTATATAGGTCTTGAGTTGTCCTTCAAGTTAAGTTTTGCTTCAAAGTTTGGAATACACCCTATGTTTTTGTCAAATAAACCTTCATATTTTGCAAGTAATGAATCCAGCTCCGGCTTCCTTGTTTCATTCATGTGTATAGATTTTATTTCTCCCCAGTCTAGTTTTATTTCTCTCATCCATTCACGCCCAAAAATCCTATCGACATGTTGATTAATGACAAAGATTTTTCCCATGAAACACTGTCCCTTATAGTCACATTTTACGTATGTTACCCCCTTAGGTTTTATGATCTCCCCTGTGTAGGTGCGCAGCTCTACACCAGTCTTGTAAAGTCTTTTGGAAGGAATTAGTCTTTTGTAGTCTTCATAAGAAATCGATGTAAGTGATGCTCCAGTATCCAACTCAAAAGTAACGTTTTTACCTTCCAATTTTATATCAATGTGAAATTTGTCATCTCTCTTTTTGTCAGACAGTAAATTAATTTCATGTATATTGTCTTCAGAAATGTCATTATTTTCAGTGTAATGAACTTGCCCTTTACTGTTTTTATGTTTACTAAGGCATACTCTTGAAATGTGTCCGATCTTTCCACAGGTGTTACAGGTTTCATCAATCATTGGACAAACATTCGCTCTATGGTATATATTCCCACATCTGTAGCATTTTCCTTTTAGTGACTCAAAATCTGTTACACGAAATTTATTACCTGTACTTGTATAAGATCCTGTGTTGTATGATTTTGTTCTAGGACTGTGAATTTGTTCATTGGATGTAATATTATTTCTAGCTTTAAACTTTACTTGATTTATGTCTACGTTTCCACTCTTTTGACATATCAAAGTACTTTCAAATTTTGAAAGTTCCATCGTAGTAGCTGTGTTAAGAATTTCTACAAATTTTTTGTGGTCACATTTCTGTAAAAGCTGAGTTTTAATGTCTTTGTCATTAAGTCCACGTATGAGTTGTAGTCGTAAAAGCATGTCTAATACAGATTTTCCACAAGCTTCGCAATTGAATTTACAATTAGTTGACAACCTTTTTAGTTCTGTAGCAAAGTTTGAAATAGATTCTCCTTCTTCCTGTATTCGACTAATAAATGTGTGTTGTAAAGCCAAAATACTTTTTTTAGGATCTAGAAAGTTGTCAAGCAAGGTCACAAGCTCCCCATACTCTTTATTTATAGGATTGTCTGGTGTACATAGGTCGTATAGTTTCTGATGTAGAAGAGGTGTCAAGGCATGTAAAAGTGTAAAAGTTTTTAACTTAGGATCATTTATACCTTTTAAAGTCATAAAAACCTCCAGTCTTCTGGCAAAATTAGAAAAGTTTTCCCTTTCATCGTAAGGAGTAAAGCTCAAATTTGAAGTAGGAAGAACTGGAATCTGTGTATTAGCTTGTAGATTTTCAGTGGTGCAACTATTTTGATTGGGAATAGAGCTATGTAAAATACTTGGCATATGAAGTAATTGGGCATCCATTAATCTTGCTTTTGTATCAATCAGCATGTTTTCAATACTTTCCCTGTAAGTTAGCTCGTTTTCTAAATCTTCTTCTTCTGTATAGAAGTCGATCTTGTCTTGAATTAGGTCATACTTTGATTTAATCTCAAACAAATCAAGTCTAGTTTGGATTTCATTGATAGAAAATGATCCTTTGTCCACATACTTCTTTACATTTCCAAGCTGAAACTTGACTGTTATTCGCAATGATTTCAATTTCTTAACTTTATTTACATCTTCTGCTATTTTTTCTAAATCTTCCATTATTCTCGTCGCCATTGATAGATATTTTAGTAATGTAACATTTTAATGCAGTAACTCAAGTTTATTTTATCACAAATCTATATTGTAACTGAATCATCATATAAACAATAACAACTGAACAGAACATATGTAAATTAACAAATATAGTATAAGCCAGTACATTTGGAATGGACACATCAGTTACTTACTCTGTTTATAATTGTTTCAGTAAGCTTATGACACAAGCTGGAAATAGAAAGCTACGCATGAAAAACAATCTGATGATGTTGGAAGGAAAACGATTGAACATTGATGCGATTAAAACTGGCTTGATACCCAAAAAGATATTTTTCACCCGAAAAACACTTCTGGAAGATATAAAACTACCTCAAAGTTTGAAAACTTCACTCTACAAAATACATTATAAAACTGTTGCATTGTGGTCTAAGCTGGAATCCCCACCAGGAATCATTGGTATGGAATTGTAAACATTTGTAGTAATCCTATTATGTAGCCTATATTAAGAATAACAGATGAGGTGTATATTCATCAATACACCCCATAGTTAAATTTATAGTAAAGTAAGTGCTCTCTTCCCTTGACAAAGCATGGGTATTGCAGCTAGTACACTTCAATGTACACTTTAGACTTGTTTCGGACTTGTTTACTAAAGCTAATACTTCGTGGGGTAAAAAGTCTCCTAACAATATATAGCGCTGACTTTTGATAAGATATGTCATTCCAAAACTTGCACTATATCCATCTAGACTTCAAGATTGAGTTGTAAATGAGTCAACTGGAAGGTTTCTCAGGGGCTTAAGTACGGGCATAGACAAACAGAATTAAATATAGACTGTCAGCCGTGCTGCGGTTACCATGGTTACCATAGGTTCCGGCGCACACCGCTGTAGTTTACATAGCGCGTACGCCGTAACTACAATGGCGCTCCAAGCGGTGTGCGCCAGAACCTATGGTAACCGCAGCACAGCTGACGGTCTATATTTAATTCTTTTTGTCTATGGTACTTTTTGCACACTTTCTCTCATATCAAAAACGTACCTAGAGTAAATTTACCCGGCACAGGCATTCTAGGGTTAAAAATCCAAATTAATAATGTACCTGGAGATACAATAGATTAGTAACCACATACCAATTTTCTAGGGATGGACGAGATTGGATTTTTAGTTCGAGACGAGACGAGACGAGATTTTTTATTTCTCATAAAATTTCGAGACGAGATCGAGACGGGATTTCCCGTCTCATACACAACGGGAAATGCACGTTCAAAATTTTTACCTGATTTTGTAACATTGTTAGATGACTGTTTAAATACAAAAATAATTATAATAGGCAAGAATATTTACAATCTTTTATTAAAAACATCAGCATAACATTTTTTTATTTATCACGCCTAACTTATTAAAAATGCCTACGATTAGGAAACATAGTGATATCAGTTAGGATAGAGTTCAACTTATCCTAAAATAAATCATAAAATAAAAGCAATATTAATTTTTATAAAATAGTTACTTGTTTTGACTTTTTATAGTAATAAAACATTCTTCACACTGCTTACACTTAACAAAACTTCTCAAATGTTATTAAAGTAATATTATTAAAATAATTAAAGTAATATTTACATTTAAAGAATTAATTAAATAAGAACGCCTTCGCAAAGGAAACGCAACTACAACACGCTCCTGTATTGCGGGTATTGCATTGACTTTCTGCAGGCGTTTTTAATTTTTTTTTTTTTTTTAATTCTCGTCTTGATAAAAATCTCGGCCAAAAAGAAATCTCGTCTCGTGTAACGAGATTTAAAATTTCCCGAAAATTTCCCGAAATTTCGAGACTTGACCATCCCTATGTTAAAACTTCAATGGCTTTCTCATTTAGACAAGCTTTGACTCATAGGGTTCTACGATCTCGTGAAGGAAGATCACATCTCCACCAACAACACTATCCCAGTGAGGGTAATCTGTGACAATGTTAGAGACCCTGGCAACCTCGGGTCCATCATAAGGGTGGCTGCTGGTGTAGGCTGTACACAGGTGCTGCTATTGAAAGGTCAGTGATGTGAGGTTTGTCTGTAAATCAGTTGTCCGTTGAGCTTCCATTACAACTAAGCAACCTACTTCAAAACATAGACCAAGTTAAGTTCCTTCCTCCATCCACTACCATTCTAACCGTTTTACACTCCTTTTGGACTATATAGTATTTTATAATGCTAATTTCTGTCAAATACACAACCTTTTTTACCAATTTAAACTAATGGATAGACTTATTGTGAGCTATAGCAACAGTTATGACCTGTCGGCCTGGTTAGCTACAAAATTATTCAAACAATAGAATTTCATGCTATATCGCATTCTGTGACTTGCTCACACAACTGTTTTTTTAATAACAAATTTGTGACAGCTGGTCTGTATAAATGCGATGTTTTTTTTTTCATTTCAGTAGGCTATTCAAAATTCAATAGTCAATGATAGAAGTCTATACATATTTTCATGGAGTGTCAAAAAGTTTCCATCGAAACTCATTGAATCGGTAAAAACTTTGCTTGCAGAACTTTTTGGGGCTGCAACGGGAGTTTGGTGGAAACTTTATTTTTGGAAAACTCTCCAAATAATGTGTGAAGGTGGGAAAGTGCTCTGTATTGAAATCCAAAGTTAAAATTCATATATCACATTTAACAAGTGTGAAATGCTGTTTAACGAGTTTGTTGTTGAACTAATTTATATGGATCAACAAACTGTGGTTAAGTTGAAGCACATGTAAAATACGTTGATTATATATACCGTAACAATATTTAGTTATATGATAAATAAGAGTAAAAATATATATTTACTATTTTGATAACTAAACATTACCATTTTATAAAACCCCCTGTATGCTGTCAACAGTGACAACCTTTCTCAAAGACAACTATGTTGCAGGCTGCACTGACCCGTGGGACCCTAAAGTGCTCCGTGCCGCTGCTGGAGGACATTTCCACATCCCAATAAAAATGGACATGATTTGGAGTCAGCACAAAGAGTTTCTGAACCCTTCTGATGTGGTTTGTCTTGCAGACAGTAACACAGCCAGAGAAACCCCAATTGCTGCCAGAATACCTCAGCATTTATACTTTGACGTAAAATTAAAAACCTCTCAATCTATAGCCATTGTTGTGGGAGGCGAGACAGAGGGTTTGAGTATTGACGCGTTCAAACTGGCCTCTAAATATAACGGATTGAGACTTCACATACCTCTGTCCAACTCAATAGAAAGTTTAAACAGCGGTTGTGCATTGAGTGTTGTATTGTTTGAGATTAAAAGACAACTTTTGACTCTTGAGAGAGCTAACACTTTAAAGGATAATGCTACTCCAGAAGAAGAACTAAAAACAGGAGAATATAGAATCTAGGGACTGATGCTTCAAGTTAGTTACCTCTGTATTGTATAAACAAATAAATTTAAAATGACAATATCTATTTCTGTGGTTTTACCAGTTGGGTATTAAAAAAAACTGATTTGTGATGTGGAAAGCGAAAAGGGACCTCTTGTCGGCGATGCAAAATTTTTAGTACGGCTGATATAAGTAATTAAGGTTGAAAATATCGGAATTTGGTTTTTCATTGATTGTTATTGATTGTTACGTACCTCATTTAATATAAAACAGGACAGTATCGGGTAAAATATCGAATTGAAGATGTAAAAGGTTGTAATAAATCATTTTGTTAGCCTCTGCACAGTCTGAGAAATGGTACCTCTTGTTGCTCAATGTTATTTTGTCATAACCACAAGAGGTCCCATTTGTAATATTCACTTTATAAACAGACTTCAGTCCAAAAAATGAATTCTAATGCATTCTAGTGAAAATTTAGAGAACTACAACTAAGTTCAGTTTACGAAGAACAAAATATCTCGCAAATTTTGCGGTCTTGACGAGAGGTACCTTCTTATCTTATGGAGAAATAACATAGAGCCGACAAGAGGTCCCTTTTCTGAAATGTGATTTTTACGACATGCTTTGATAAAACAATTATTTAAATGAAAACTACCGTGAGTTAAGACAAAAATTGGTATTGCCTCCAAAGAGGACATAAGCTTTAGTTTAATACCAAAATAATTTCTAAAAAAGGGAAAAAAAACGGGAGTGTTGCACGACGTCCAAAGATATTATTCAGTGCCACGACGTCCAAAACATAATTTTTGAGTTGTTGCATGACGTCCAATATAAATTATTTGACTGTTGCACGACGTCCAAGTGCCACGATTCCAAAAGTACAGTAACTGCCAAAAATATAGTCTTTCTACAAGCTTTGGACGTCATGAAATTGGACGTTGTGAAACAGCACACTATTGAATTGTAAAAGAGTATCATTTGCACCACGTCCAAAGCCTCTGCCAGTTGCACGACGTCCAATAAATATTTGACTGTTGCACGACGTCCAAGTGCCACGACGTCCAAAGTGCCTGCACACTATGAACACTGTTTGCCGACCTCAGTGCATACAGTTTGCATTGCAACTATTGAAGGCAACTAGGCCTAGTCTAACAACTGTTTCAAGTTGATAACAGCTCCATCTTCGATTAATGTTTAAATTATTCAATATTCAATGGTTCTAATTGAACTAATTATTGTATTAGCTTAATTTTTTTTTATATGTAAAATAAATACTATGTCACCGTAAAATGGAATTATGCAGTATTTCTGTTGTTATGATTGCATAATTGATTTCTACAAAATCACCATACAATAAATAAATCACTAGCCCAAAAGTAAATATGTTAGGTTTAATGTGAGTTGTAGTAGAAGTCTAAGTACTGCAGTAGAATAGAGATTAATTATTGTCGTACAATATCAATTGGTAGCAAATATACTCGTAAGATAAATTAATGCAAAGTTTTATTAAAGCTATAAGACTTCCCATTTAAGAACCGGTATCATTGAAATTGTATAACTTCCATTGAACAGAAATGAGATAAGTAGATATTGATACACAGATATATTAATTTTCCCACACTTATAATATGACGAATTCAAAAAAAGGTTTATCTGTCAAATGTGCTAAAAATTATGTGAACTATCACTTATCAACTTTGTAAGCTATAATCAATGGTGTTATTAAAAAATGTTTTACCTGTGAAACATGTATTTTTTAAATCTAAAAGAAGAGTACAGGTACAAACCTTGCTCTATTCGTGCATACGAAAAATAATTTCACTATTTTACGATATTAATGTTTAACAACAAATGATTGAAGCAGATCTTCAGAGAGTGTCTCCAGCTGATGCAGTAATAAAAACGTATCTCCTTATACCCTTTATACTTTTTATTAAGTTACATTTTACTAAGTTACTTTTTACTTAAGTTACATTTTTTAATAAGTTACATTTTATCAAGTTACATGTTACTAAGTTACATTTTACTCAGTTACATTTTTTAATAAGTTAAATTTTATTAAGTTACATTTTACTAACGCGTAGTTGTACATATTTATTTCGTGATGATAAATAATTGAGGTGATGGATGCAATACACTTGTGTAGGCAGTCGCAGCAGTCGAAGCCGGGTATATTCACGAACGCAAATCGCCCAACGTGTAGCTAAATGAACTGTAGTGTAAGTGAGCCATCTAATATTTTACCGCAGGCTCGTGGCTCATAGTCACTATGATCTGTAGAGTAAGTGAACCTTCCTACTGTATTTTTCGGTGGGGCACACGGGAGGGACTAAGGCTAACATATCTTGTAGTGTCAGCGTTCGCCGCTAGAACTGCTAAGTTGAAATAATTTAAATTAATTTTTTTAGTTATAAAATTAACTTTTTAATTATAAAATATTGTTTTAAAATTATAAAATAAATTTTTAATTTTTAAAATTAAACTGTCATAACATAACCTAACCAACCAGACTTGCTGATAATATAAAAACTATATAAGATAAAAATCTAATTAATAATTACTTATAACTTTTAATTAATCATAAAATTAATTTTAAAATGTAGTATTATAAAATTAAACTGTCATAACCTAACCTAACCAACCAAACTTGCTGATATGAAAAATTTGTTGACAAAAAGTCAGTGCTACCAGCGGGATTCCAAAACCGGGACCTCCTGCACACCAATCCGAAACGCTACCAACTATGCCACGAACGCCGCTAAAATCACATCGCTTCGTAACGGTAATCGTGTCGCCTCAAGAGAAGACATTACCCACTAGAGATATGACGTCACTACACCTTTAGCCTTAGTCCCTTCCGTGTGCCCATTCCCTGTATTTTTAAATAAAAGACACGAGGCTCATAGGCACTATGAACTGTAGAGTAAGTGAACCCCCTTCATTTATTTTATATTTTCGATGAAGGGCAAGTGAACCTTCTATTATATTATATACTACTAGCTGGCCCGACAGACGTCGTCCTATCCTAATGTGGTTTTATGTAAAATGCTCGTCCATTTTCAAGATGACCTCGTTCGCATGGCTCAATCACGTCCTGGGTGAAGTTCGTTCGCTACGCTCACTCACACTCACCTTTTGGCTGCAAATTAGCTGTTGTCATAAATTAAAAAAAAATAATAGTACTGCACCACGGCCGCCTTTAACTAACTTAAACTAGTTAAAGGCGGCCGTGACTGCACCCTGTTGGTAAACTTATCAACTTTTTAATGCTATTGAACATCACGGAATAAAATTGTTTAGTTGAACCAGCTGTTAAGATTCTTTAATTCCTTTTAAATATGAGTACTCATAAGGTTAGCATGGGAAACTCCAGAGCCACTGGGGCGGAGCCCTTTTGATGGATCTGCACCAAACTTCACACAAACCATCCTTGAATAATGCTTAATAATGCCTGAAAGTTTCATTACAATTTGTCGAGCGGTTTCGGAGTCCATAAAGGACAAACAAACAAGCATATATTGGATTTTATATACTGTATATATAGATTTATAATATTATTTACAAAGCTCGTATAGAATATGATCTGATGATATGAGGAAGTGACCTGTCCCCATAAAATTACCTTTAAACCTATAAATTTATTTAGTACCTACAAATTTATTTTATCGCGATAAAGTCCAAATTTTGTATTTTATTTACATAGTGAGATTTTGGAGGGCATAAATAATTCTATGGTAAACGTTAAAGCCAAGTTGGTTTGGTTTAGCAAACTACCAACGTAAAAGATTTCATTTTCTATTCAGTTTGGATTTGGCTGGTTTCATGGTCGTGCAACAAAGCCAGCTTTGATCGGCATTCGTTCCATTCTGTCCGTGTTCCAGCGGTTCCAGCTCCAGTTGTTTCGTTTTGATTACTTTTGTTTTTTGACTTTTGTTATGTTACGTAATTTTGTTTTTTAGGCTAGGGCTAGGGCTAGGTGGACGCTGAGCTGAGCTGAGTGCTGACTGCTGACGCTGGGAATAACAGGAAAGCGGGAAGTAAGTATTAGGTTATTAGGAAGGTAAAATAAAATTGAAAGCCTTCTATATTATTGTTTTGAAACCGTAATTAAATTTTGGGGAAACCCACCATGCATAATATGAGAAAATATGATTAGGTTTTCATTTATAGATATTATCTTTAGAGATAGCATCTCTTTTGCTAGCCTAGGCCTAAATGTTTTTTGTGAGATGAATAAGTGGTAATTCTAAACTAAGTACAGCAGCCTCAACTTTAATTTTACCCTACCTATATAAGTTAGGCCCTATTAAGTTAGTTTGTGCTATATGTATAAAATCCAATGTATGTTTGTCCTTTATGGACTATGAAACCGCTCGGGCTGCACTTTACTTTAGGTTCTACACTCATTCGAATGAAAATATCGATCGATTGTTTCATTCGATATATCGTTTGGTTAGTTAGGTAAGGTTAACCTAACTAACCAAACGATATATCGAATGAAACAATCGAATAAAGGATATTTTAATTCGAATCGATTGTTTCATTCGATATATCGTTTGGTTAGTTAGGTAAGGTTAACCTAACTAACCAAACGATATATCGAATGAAACAATCGAATAAAGGATATTTTAATTCGAATGAGTGTAGGCCCTAAAGTAAAGTGCAGCCACCGCTCGACAGATAGTAGGCCCTAATGAAACTTTCAGGCATTATTAAGCATTATTCAAGGATGGTTTGTGTGAAGTTTGGTGCAGATCAGTCAAAAGGGCTCCGCCCCAGTGGTTCTGGAGTTTCCCATGTTAACCTTATGAGTACTCATATTTAAATGGAATTAACCCTCCGAGTGAGTGTTTTGTGTTGATTTTTCGACTCACAAACACTGTTTAGGGCGAAGGATCTATGACTGACAAAATCGGATTGAACTGGATCGAGTTGGGTATCGTTTTATTTGGCAGATTCTAAGCTTTCTCCCAAGGTCGTCTGTCTCTAAGCGTTTTTTTTTTTTGACCCGATCATAATTGTAGCAGACAGCTGACGTGCGTATTTGTAAACAGCTTGGTTAACCTCGCACCGATGACTGATGTGTTTTATTACGTTTATCATTGTTTTAGTGTTAAAAATCAAAAGTAGTGATATACGTGGTGCATTATAAGAAGATTTAAGTGATTTTGAAGGGCTGGTTGATGATCCTGAAGAAGTAGGTAGTGATATTGATGTAAATTATCAGCCAGATTCCTAGCTATGGTTAGGCTATGCATTCTTAGCTAATCACTATGCACCAAAATCTGTTTTTTGCCCATAACTTATTTATTTGCAAATCTACTTCCTTATATGATTATATATATTTGTAATCCTCATAAAATTTAGAACAAAGTGGCTATTTTCAAATATTTATAGGCCTATAATTTATACAATTTCATTGAGCGCGAACTTATTTTTTTTTTGAAAATTTTCCAAAATATTTTTTTTACCCAAAGTTTTTTTTGGAAACAAATGTTCCTTATGTTTTATGTATAATATTGAAGCCCATGATTTTCCAAACAAAATGGTTGGCCTATATAGAACAGTATAATTAACATTGTTTTTAATCGTCTCTGATCCGTTTTAATAAAACCTTGCAAATGCGCAAAAAATAGGCAAACATTAAGGCCAAAACTAGGGACACTCGGAGGGTTAAAGAATATTAGGTACTCCACATTACTAAACAGCTGGTTCAACTAAACAATTTGATTCTGTGATGTCCAATAGCATTAAAAAGTTAATAGGTTTACCAACAGGGTGCAGCACTATTATTTTTTCAAATTTATGACAACAGCTAATTTGCAACCAAAAGGTGAGTGAGCGTAGCGAACGAACTTCAACCTGGAGGCGAGTTAGCGTAGCGAACGAGCTAACCTGAAGGCAAGTGAGCGCACGAGTTCATCTTGAAATGAACAAGCACTTGACATAAAACCACATTAGGACAGGACGACGTCTGTCGGGCCAGCTAGTTGACTGTATAACACTATTGTTATATAGTCATGCTAAATTACGTATACAGTTGATCGTTCTGTTTACCTGAATCCTTAATTCCCTTCTTTTAAAAAAAAACCCAGCTATGCCGGATAGGTTGTGTCTATAGCGCCTCGTTTTCCTAGTAAGGAACCAAAGAGAACCTCTTAAGCGAAGGAGTGGGGGGGCGCGACATCACTCTTCTCTTGAGGGAACACTATTACCGTAACGAGACCATGTGATTCCATCGGCATTCATGGCGTAGTTGATATCGTCTCGGACTGGTATGCCAGAGGTGTCCAGATCCAATCCCGCCGGGGGCTCTAACTTTTTGTCAAAGATTTTGCTTAGAATGTGAATAATTCTTAACTGTAGGCCTACATGTTTTGTTAGAATTTGAGGCATTTATAATTTGAATAATGAACTGAACTATTTTTTTATCTAGTAGGCCTCAACCTTCATCCGATTTTTATCTTTTATCTTTTTTATACTATCAGTAAGTTTGGTTGGTTAGGTTGGGTTATGACAGTTTAATTTTATAATACAAAATATAATATTAATTTTAGAATTAAAAAGTTTATGAAATAAATTTAAAATTTTTCTTAAATTTACGTGAAGGGCTCTCCCACAATCCTCCACTCCTTCGCAGAAAAGGTTCTCATCGGTTTCGGACCAGGAAAATGACATGCTAGTAGGTTGTATTCGGTTGGAAATAAATAAAGATAAAAATACTCACTGATACTTTTAAGTATAATATTTACATATGTAAATTTACTAATTGATATTATAAGGCCTTACCTTAGCAATCCTGTTTTTTGATCCGAAATTAATTTCGGGCCCGAAGGTCGAAAAGCATTTTTTGTCTTGGAGAGCCTGCAAAAGGGAAGGTCTATTTCCTGATTATGTCTTGTTTGGTTTGTATGGAACGTATTTCTGGTCAGAAAATTTTGGATGTTGTATTTGACGTATGATGCACATCACAGAATAAAGTGGAAGAGAGGCTTGCAGTGGTCCAATCGTTTGATAAAGGTTATTATCCTGATAGCCTTCTTTTGCTGTAGAAGAACTTTGTGGCAGGTTGGCGCATGCCCCCAAAGCACGCTATGAAAGAGAACGTGTTAGACTACCAGTAGTTATTGTGGTGTTACTAGCTTAGACAATTTAATTTTTAGAGACACAAACTCTCGATAACCTTCTGCATATCGTCCCCTTCCAGTCATATAGACGTATCTCATTTTTGGAAACTTTTCAGGAGACCCAAAAAACTAAAAGTGTCCTAATGTTTTCTTTTGTTGTAAGAGAACTAAAAGAGTTAGAATCTTAATATTTGATGAAGCTATAGTTTAAGGTATAGGCTTTGGTTTTCATGAAAATTTAACTTAATATCTTTACATATACTACCCTAAATATATATGTATTTGAGATACGTCACTTTGACTGATTCTTTTCTTCATACTTTTTAGTTACGTCACAACATTTACTAATAATATATTTACTATTTTAATGCAAAATATAGTTTTAATTATTAAAATTTGCTTAAATGAAATTCATAGAATTGTACACAAAGGTTATAAATGATAAGAGTTGACTTTTTTAGAAAACTTTATTCGTTACAAAATTATAAATTCACAAAAATACGTTAAAAAATGAATGAACTAAAATTATTACTTACTCTGCATTGTTAAACAAAATCTAAAGTCATTCTAGTGTACTTAAAGTAAAGTACCTGGGGACCGAGCATTAGCTCTTTCTGAAAGCAGTCTTAGTATTGGAGATACATAAATCCATTCCCAAACTCCACACGGCTCGCCTTTGCTACGTCCTACGCATTTCCTACGTCATGGACCTGTTTCCCTCAATTTCCATGGCACTTTAGTATTGTAGATACATTAATCTAATCGTTATTAACAGTTTCCACACTCCGGACAGCTCGCCTTGCCTACTTCCTTCAACACTTCCAACGTCGCGGACCTGTTTCCTCCCTTCCCATAGCATTTCAGAATTGCAGACACCTTAATCTAATCGTCATAAACAGTTCCCACGCTCCATACTACTCGCCTTTACTACTTCCTTCACCTCTTTCTACGTCGCAAACCTGTTTCCCTCCCTTCCCATAGCATTTTAGGATTGCCCATACCCTTATCTAATCGTCATAAACAGTTCCCACACTCCGGACAGCTCGCTTTAACTACTTCCTTCACCACTTCCTACGTCGCGGGCCTGTTTTCCTTCCTTCCCATAGCATTTTAGGATTGCAGATACCCTAATCTTATCGTCATTAACAGTCCCCACACTCTCCGGACTACTCGCCTTTACTACTTCCTTCATCACTTCCTACGTCACGGACCTGTTTCCCTCTATTCCCATAGCATTTTATGATTGCCTTTACTACTTCCTTCACCACTTCCTACGTCGCGGACCTTTTTCCTTCTCTTCCCGTAGCATTTTAGGATTGCAGATACCTTAATCTAATCATCATAAACAGATCCCAGACTTCGCACTGCTACCCTTGACTACAATGTATAGAGTAATCTTCAGTATAATCTTTGCTAAATATTAACAAGTGATGTTTTTCCTTTTGTACTGTATTTGTAATTTGCTAGTATACTGTGGGTAGTTGGCTTATTATGAACACATGCTACAACTTCAAGTCTTTTGTTTACTTTCTCCTTGTTATTTAATTCAGCCAACATGGTTACCTAGCAACCCATAAGACTAATGTTAAAAAAATGTGATTTTCAGCTTCATTTTTCTACGTAATTAGATTTTTGTTGGCAGTTCTAACTGCAGTAAACTCGTTTTTAGGCCAGAAATAAACTATTTGAAGAAAATCGTCGGAGCCGTTTTCGAGATCTTTTTTGTAAGCAAGCAAGCAAACAATCAAGCAAGCAAGCATCTAAATATATAAAAGGCAAAGCCCTCACTGACTGACTCACTAACTCACTCACTCACTCACTCACTCACTCATCACTAATTCTCCCACTTCCCATTTACCTAGTAGGCTGAAATTCGGTACACCGATTCTTTGGGCATTAAATAGGAAAACTAAGTAGTTTTTATTCTGATCGGATTTCGGGCTCCGCCCCAGTGGCTCTGGAGTTTCCCATGTTAACCTTACGATTTTTCATCTTTAAAAGGAATTTCTTAACAGCTGTTTCAATTAAACAAGTTGGTTCTGTTCTATGATGTTCAATAGCATTAAAGTTATAAGGATTACCAACAGGGTGCAGCACTATTATTTTTTTTAATTTATGACTACAGCCAATTTGCCACCAAAAGGTGAGTGAGCGTAGCGAACGAACTTCAACCTGGAAGCGAGTTAGCGTAGCGAACGAGCTAACCTGAAGGCAAGTGAGCGGAGCGAACGAGCTCCAACCTAAAGGTGAGTGAGCGTAGCGAACGAACTTCAACCAGGACGTGATTGAGCCATGCGAACGAGCTCACTTGTGAAGTTAAACGGGGCAAGGCCCGCGGGTACAGCTAAGCAAACATTGCTCGTATTAAAGTATAGGATTCATAATAAGATACGCCTGTTTGCGTGAAACTTTAAATGGAGGGCTCCTTAAATTTGATACTGCATACAGACGTATCTCAAGATACGCCAGTATGCATGAACAAGTTGGTTTTAAATTTGAGATACGCCAAAACTTAAATGTCCCATAACTCCTAAACGAGTAGGAATTGAGATACGCCAGTTTGAGTGGATGTGGAGAGATGAAAGAGAAGTTCATTGCTGACGTATCTCAAAAATCGAATTTTTTGAGATACGTCTGTATGACTGGAAGGGGACGATATGACCTCAATATGCTCAGCCCATGTCAGTTTGGGGTCAATGGTGAAACCGAGAAGATTAACTTTGGTTTCGACCTGGGGATGTCAAGTTAAGGTGCACACGATCTTTTGTGTCTTATCCTTGTTCAGCTTGAATTTGATGGCTAAGAACCATGCCTTGGCTTCCTGGAAAAGAATTTCTGCGGTGTCAAGAGCTTGAGCAGGAGTAGGGCCTGACCATAAAATTGTGGTGTCTTCTGCGAATCTTAGCGCAGAACCATTTAAGTCAAGGTCATTGATTGAGACCAAAAAAGAGTACTAAAGAGACCGATCCTTGAGGAACGCGAGTCTGTTGCTTTGAAAGTCGTTTACACTCTGTTGACCAGTTCTGTGACAGCAGTTGTTGTGTAATGATTCTTTCTGAACCCGTGCTGTAAGTTTGAGAACAGATTTCCACATTTAAAGTTATTTACCAGCTGATCTTTAATAACGGACTCAAAACTTTACTAAATACAGGTATTAACAAGATAGGCCGATAGCTGTTTTAAGTTACACGGGTCACCCTTTTTATATACCTTTTTTTGTCACCCCTTGGGTACCGTACGAGCCACTTTTAGGATGTTGGGAAAGGCCCCTACTTTTAAACCTATGGTTTTAATGAAAAAAATAATTTGTTACAAGGACAACTCATTTTGTCAAAGCTCTGAGAAAAAAATTAGTGTATGACATAAAAACACCTATGGTGTTATGAATAAAATCATTTCATACAAGGACTACTCATTTTGTCAAAGCTCTTTATCCTGAAAAAAAAGAAGTTCCAGAACAAACGCACCAGTAGGTCCTTTCATTAAATGTTGTTCCCTGTCCTCCCTTTCAACACCATCCAACAATCGTGCAAATCATTCTTCTTCATCCATATGATAATTTAGCAAAATAAGCTCAAACACAAGCGTGCACACAGAACTAGGCTCTAGGAAACCCGTTACATTACAGGGCGCTCACGGAAGCTACTTCCAGTAGTGACCCGAAACACTCCCTAAGGTCGATTGACAACTGGGAAAGGGGTAAGAGTAGCCAAAACCGTTTCCACAAAAGAGGTGCGTGAGGTACGGCAGGCGACAGCCCTGCCAAACACAAACAGTGGTTTTCATAATGAAAAATGTAGTGACCCGATGGTAACAAAGACGTTCTTTCATGCATTGATAGGAAGCCAATAGGTATCTATCTCTTAAGGCTAAGACTAAATCCTTATACCTAGCCAGGTCTGGTGTACGGTATACCATATCTTAACGTCTGACTTGCCCTGCTTAACCTTATTTAACTTAGGCCTTTGGACGAATTTCTAACTGTCTTGGAAGGGAAGTGATGGTTAAAACTATCATTGAATAGATACAAAAAATTTATAAAAGACTTTTCAGGATCACTAACCTGTGGAACATGACTCCAGTCAATCTGTGATAAGCTTTCTATTTCTTTGTGGAAAAAAGGTTTTCCTCTCCTGCCGTAGCTGCAGCTGCACAGGCTTTGTTAGCAAATCTACTACTCGATTAGGCAACTAACACAACTTAATGCTTTGAGCTTAAGTGGAGATTAAGTATGACAAAGTTTAGAGAAATAATTTTTTGTAAAAATCCAATCAGGCAAATGCAAATTTTATCAGTCTTCAGGATTGCTGTTGTGGGGTTATTTAATGTTTTAATGAGGCAATGGTCCGAGCAACCTTAGGTCTACGCCGACCTGTTGTTGGGAAGCTCAAGTCTGACTTACCCATTGTTCTCAGGGTCAGCTACATTAGGATGTGAAAGTGAACACTTAAAACTTCAGACCCAGAAAGTTGATCCTAATAACCAAGTTCTTTAAACACAATTTGAGACTTATAAAACATGAGAACTTATATTTTGATTGTGATTACTGATTATGAATAATCGGATAGCTAAATAAATTATTGTGACTATAAAATGTTACTTAATAGCAATCCCAATCTAAATAGGCCTACACGTTAAAAATTTAGTCTGTAGGCATATACAGTAGAGACTGTTTTATTTTGTTTTTTCAAAAAATATAATCTGGACAAGGTTCAGTCTTGGGCAATTATTGATATTGCTACTATCACGTTTCAGGTTTTATAATATGGATTCAAATATCGTGAGAGGAACTTGCATTCTTATGTGCCCTGACCAGGAAATAGAAATGTAAGTACTAATAATTAATTTGTTAAGAATTTATGAATTTAAATATTATTTTTCTGAATTTGTCATCAGATTAAGTTGCCTGCTTTTATGAGTAATATCTGGCATTCATTTTTGTTATTGTCATTCTGGTTTCAATGGGATTGAAATATTTTATGTTTTTATGTAAGACAATTAGGTATATAAATTCTTAACTGCTATCCAAGATTGACCTTTTGTAGGGTCTCATCATTAATTAATACCAATAACATATGGCATCTGGGGTTAGGACGGTTTTGCTCGTGACCTAAATTATCACTTGATTATTTTGCATTACCAGCTCATTGCGATAAAAAGTCAAAGTCATGGAGAACATATAGAATCTAGTTATTTGTGTAACTATTTGGCAAAGTGGCAATTTGCTGCACACAAGAGAAATGTTTACACGCACAAGCCATAGGCGAACGTGGAAAGTTTCTCAAGTGCAGCAAAGACAGTTTGCACTTGCGTTACATATTTTTCCTACAGTTACTATAAAGCATATAAATAATTAGTCTTTCAAACACTGTACAACCTGATTTTAGGTTAGGTTAAATCTAAACATTGAACGAAATAGGAAACACTGCACCAGCTGATCATAGTCATAATATCTTGAAGTCTTGCCAACTTATTTTCAAGTGTACACGTATTACGTGCCTAATAAAAGCACGCTGTTTTGTGTTGTTTGGTTGGAATACTGGTGTGCGGTAAAAAAAACTGTGAAAGTGTGCGACAAAACTAAGTTGATACAGCAATTAGCAACTTTCTGTGCTATAATCAGTGCAAGGAAGGCAACTTTGTCAGATGACTGTAGGAAAATGCCTTTTTTATACAAACATAACATTTGTCCATATGTTTAAGATTAGTGTTATCATCATTTTGCATTGACACACTATTTGTGCATTAACATATTTCTTTAAGAGGTAGTAGGCTACAGTAGACTCCCTCTTATCCGGACACCTTTTAACCGGACATTGGTTTAACCGGACTACACTAGCCGGAAACGACACCTCTTTAACCGGACAATTTTTATCAGCACATTGGTTTAACCGGACTAGATCGGCAGGAGGTGGGCGGTACTGAAACGACTGTTCTCGTGGGAAAGATTTGAGACCAGTGATCACGTGTCTAAATACAATGCTCTCCTAAATTTAAGTCAAATACTGTATGCAGTATGCATTTAAACAGTCTGTTTTAATGAGTTTTTGGGGACGTCGGTTTAACCGGAAAACCCGTTATCCGGACTGGCCTCGGTCCCGAGGAGTCCGGATAAGAGGGTTTAAAGGTAAAAGGTTTAAAACTGGTTGGCAGCTAAAGGAATTTCACCTAATGTAGTTCACTGGCATTTTTGGCTGTTAGTCCTATTAGTAGATTGTCACATGGAGTAGTTTTTTTTAAGTTTGCAAAATCTCAGAAGAGCTAAAACTTGCTTCCAGTAATGAAGCCCTAAATCTTCTGTGTATTTTATTAGTATATTTTAAATTTAGTTCAAATCAAATACTTTTTGGTATACAGGAGACAAAGGGAAGGCCTGATCCATGTTCTGGAGGCTAGAAGAGACGGTGGAGGAAGAGGTACTCGATTAACAGCTGATCGTAGGAAGATGGTCAAGATGTACACTCGCTCGGCCGCAGGGAAGGACCTGCTACAGCCTGACCTGCTGCGACCTCCGCCTATCCTACGGAGAACCATCAACTACCTCCTCAGCAGGTACACGCAGAACTTGTTAGGTTTTGGTACCTTTTAGCAAATTTGCCATATAGTCAAGTCAAGTCAATAATTTATTTTCAAACAGCGTTTTACAGATCCAGCATGGCTGAGAAACAGGTGAAATGGTCATGGACAATTAAAATACATAAAACTACAGTCCAACCTCAATATAACGAATCTGAAGGGACCGAACTGAATATTCGTTATATCAAGGATTTTGTTAAAACGAGGTTCGTTATATAGGGGTTAGGTTTGCAGGAATTTCGCTAAGTCGAGGTTCAGAACCAGCGTCGGTCAATATAGGTCGGGATTTGACCTCATTAAAATACAATTAAAGTAGCATAGGCTACGCTACAATACTTTACAGTACAGTGTTTACATTGTACAGTAGAACCTAAATTATCCGGCAAAATGAAGGGGAGGGATCTTGAATATTGCGCAATCATGACAATGGCATTGACCTTGGTACAGGCTTTGACTATTAAAGGTTAAAAACTGTAAGTTTAAAATCACAGCATGTTCTAACCCTCCTAAAACCTAGCCAAACACTGTATTGCGTAGTCATAAACCATGTAAAGAACAAAACAAAACAGTAGAAAGTTTTGTAAGCTACTGCTCGTGATAGGCCGGTAGGCTACTTACAGTACAGTACTGATTTATCACAACAGAGGAATGTCAATAATAATCATTAACCATAGCATTGGTGTTGCTAGTTGAAACAAATCGTATTGAAAACAAAAAAAAAAATAGATAAGTCATTATAAAAGTGTATAATCATAGCCAACTTAAGGATAATAAAAAACACTCGTAAAAGGAATGTTAAGATGACGATGTTGCTATTCTTTCTCTTTGGTGTTGTTTTTATTAGTTTTCTCTTTATCCAAAAATAGTACAATTCACCATAGTTATCCCATATCGACCAATAACAGCTTACTAAACATTACGTCCTCATCAGTCCTCAGTGAATGAAATCAGTTCAGTTCTCAGTTGCAACATAGCGCGCGCAGCGACAGCAGACAAAGATGTAAAACGGAGCAGACGAATGTTAGCGCAAGCGATGACGTGACCTTTCCATTTCATTTGATAAAGAAACAGATTTTCCCGAAACCATAATTGGGTGGGGGATTTGTTATATCGAGGGAAAGACGTAGACAATTCGTTGTATAGAGGTTAAATTCGCAATGTAGAGGTTCTGACAATGATAAATTCGTTATATTGAGGTGTCTTATTTTAGCCGAAATCACGAAAAATTCGTTAAATCAAGGTCGTTGTTATGGTTTGTTCGTTATGTAGAGGTAAAATATACATTGTGTCTTATGGAGAGTTCTAGGGGATTAAAAAAAATTCGTTATATCAAGGAATTCGTTATATCAAGGTTCGTTATATCAAGGTTAGACTGTATAATAACTATCAACTATACAATATGCTAAGAAATCAAATATATACATCATTTATAAAATCATTAACTTTGTAATACCCTTTATTAAGCAGCAATTTGGTAACTTCTTTTTTGTATTTTTCAAAAGATTCTAATGATTTAATATTACCAGGCAGTTTATTATACAGTTTTTTCCCTAGATATTGTGGAAGGGTTTCTAGTGAGGTAAGTCTATGAATGGGCAGTTGTAAATCAGTTTGATGTCTTGTTAAATAATTATGGTTATGGTTTTCATTCATAAAAGATTCAAGATTTTTTTATAAAGATTAATGTTTGCAGGATATAAACTGACGGAAGTGTTAATATTTTCAATTCTCTAAATAATAATTTACAAGGATCTTTTTTTGAATTTTGAAAATGGTTTCCGGCATTTGAGCAGTTGCCCCAGAACTCTATTCCATACAACATGTTTGACACAAACAAAGCATAATAAACAATCATCCTTGTCCTGAGGTCAGTAACATGCTGCAGGACAGACATCTGGAAACAGACTGTATTTAGTTTATTAGCTAGAACTGATGTGTATTTATCCCAATTTAAAGTGTTTTGTACCTGAATACCTAAACATTTTGTAGATGATTTTTCATTAATAATTTCCCCCTGAAAATTAATATTTAATTCGATGGTTTCTCTGTCATGAGTAGTTTTGAACCTGACAATTTGAGTTTTAGAACAATTAAGACTCAGCCCATTTGCTGTGAACCATTTGTTTAAATCTTCAAAAGTTTGGTTTATCAAATTTTGTAAATTGTTAGGGCTGTTTGATTTTAATATAGCTGTTGTGTCATCTGCGTATAGAACAAGCTTTGAGTTATAGGGTGCGTTCACAAAGAAAGCTGGTTACAAGTAACTTACTTTCAGCACTTGTTCCAAGCGCTTGAGAATGCTGTTGTGTGTTCACAACAAATGCTTGCATTTCAAGCTCAGTGTAGTCTCAGCTCTGGTTGAGACAACATCTTTCTGAAGTGATGGAGAGTTATTTTTGATTGAAAATGTAGAACTAAAAATTCGTAGAAGGAAAGTAGGTGTTCATGCAATTAACCGCGGAAGAGGTAGGTTCGGGGGATACCACCATCTATTTTCACAACTGAAACTGGACAAAGTGGGTTTTTTTCTTATATGAGAATGGAGTTAACCACGTTTAATTACATCCTCAAGAAAATTTAAAGTGTTTTAGTGAAGTTTTGGGAGATTTGGCATAAGCAACCTATCCATGCACCAGAACGAATATTGGGCCAATAATAAAACCTAAAAAAAAATACTCGAAGGGAGTTTTAAACACACTATGTAGCAGATTAATTATGATGCAAATAATATTGAGATATATATTCAAATGATTTTCTAGGCAAATAAAGTAAAAGTGTAAAGGTTTCACCCATAAAAAATCCAACACTTAATTAATATTGAATTAAATGTGTTTGTCTATCATCTACATATATGTTATAATTGTCCTATTGGTTGTCATTGAACATTCTCGGGAAAACCCACGATAGGTAGGTACGTGGGTAATATATTTCTTTTGGAAATCAGAAGTTCTAAATACTTGAGCTATCAACACTCATCGACATCCATACTGCACTGTTAAGTTGTTTCTGCCTGGTTCGGTCAACAAGCGCCGGAAAACAAGTACGAAACGTTCTTGCGTGCTTGTCAGAGCTTGTAACAAGCGCTTGCTAGCCGGCACAAGCTTTGTCTGTGAACGCACACGCTTGATACTATGTTGACTTTTCTCACGCCAGTTCGAGCTTGTAAGCGCTTGCCAACAAGCGCTTGTAACCAGCTTTCTTTGTGAACGCACCCATAGTTGAGTTATAGGAAATAAGCTATGATAATTTAGAAAGATCTCATTCAAATTGTTTTGCTAGGCTGAAGAAGAACAGCCTCAGTCCAGTGGGGTTTCGGCTCCCTGTAGTGAAACAACAACAGACCGAGGCCATTTGTTAAGGCGCTTTTGTACTGAACTGAAAACTGTAGCGAGCAATTCACATATAGATTACATGTGCAATACTTGTGTTCATATTTAGGCTCAGTTTAACTGTAATCTGGCATTTTTTTTGTCCTAGGACGCTAGGCACGAGCCTGGTATTGTTTTTCACATTACTTCAGGCTAGACCTAGGGGTTGCGGCATTATCACTTAGATAAAATCCATTGGTGACTTGGCGGGGATCAAACCCGGGACCTCACGGACTGAAGTCCCGCGCTCTAACCACTACACCAGCTCTCTCCCCTGTAATCTGGCATTAGCCTTACTACTTTTTAGATGCCATTTTTAGAGATAACATCACATGCATTGTTTATTTGTATGACAGTGTTGTGGCAGAAAGTGAGACTCCATGGACAACCGTGTATCATTTCGTAGAGGACAGACTACGAGCCATCAATCAAGACATGGTTGTGCAGCAGATTCCTCCCCACATGAGCACCAACATCCTCGAACCCATCGTCCGCTTCTACGCTTATGCATCTTACAGGTATTTTAAACGGTAGTTTGAGAATACTTGTTATTTGTATGCTTCAAAAGGTTGAATACAAACCGAGCACCTCCCAGCATGTCCTTATCCCCAATAGGGTCACCCCATTATATACGCTGAACTCCGCACATGACCCGCCCGGTACATGGATCTTCAGCGTCCGCCTCAATGGTTCTCTAATGTGTCATTACCCTACACAATTCATCAACCGCTTCGTTATTAGAAAATACTAGCCGCTATACCTGCTATATTACTAGATATCTAGTACGATATATTTTTGGCGTTGATGCAAGTACAAATATACTGTAAAAATATGGTAATATTAGTGGCTTATTTCATGTTCCACAGATTTAAGGACTTATTTACACTCTTGTCAATAATTATTAATATTCCCATCCTGCTATGTTAGGTTAGGTTAGGTTACAACCGAAGTCCCGAAAAACAGGAAGAATGTCAATGAGAAGAGGGATTTCCTTTTGAAAAAGACTGAACAATTAAATAACCAACAAATAGATTTGTATACGTGAAGTCTGTAGGCGACCAATATTCACCAGTGTGAGGGTAATAAATTTGTGATGATAAGTTGCATGTTATTTATTTTTCACCCTTTGTTTAATCAACGATGAGATTTCTCGGAAGGGTAGATTTGCGTAGCAAAGAGGCGTCATTTTCGCGATCTCTCTCCCATGTGCTTGGTTTATGTGTCAACCTCCATTTCGATGCTCGGTTCGAGTGTGCCCCTTTAAAAATAGTAGTTAACGCAACGATCCCGTAAAGATAGTATATGTCACAAGTAGAAAATTAAAAAACTTCTTTGAGTGTAACTTAACTAAAAAGTGAAGAATTTTAAAAACTAAATAGCCTATAAAAACTCAAGAAAATAAAAAGTAATTATAAATCTGCTTTAGTATTTTACAACACATGGTGTGATCTTCCAGTTGATATATTTTCATATGAATCATCTTAGTTATGTGACCGTAAACCATGAAAAAAACAAAAGTACAAACCCTAAAACTTCAAAAGTGAGAGATAAAAATCAAACTTTCTGTCTCAGTACCAACATAATGTGGCGTGGACAGTAGACTGTGCTGTTTGGTGTGGCAAGGCTCGATACCGTGAGAGTGATATATGAATAACTAAGTAAATCTGAAATGTCTAAAATTGCAACTTAAATATTAAGACTGAGTGTAAGGTTGGCTCAGGCTTTATCTGTAGCGATGGAGCAATACTGTCTCGTTAAAGAAACAAGATAAAAGATAAAAGACGTTGTAAACTTGACAAAGTTTCTGATCTTACCATAATTCTGCATGAGAGATCAATGGATGGACTGGATATAGTGTTTTTATGAAACTTTGAGAGTGTGTATATGTATGTTGAGGCAGAAGAGAACCATGTTAGAAAAAAATACCCCTGCTGCAGCAACCTGCAGACTAAGCGAATTTCGATTTGACTTAATATAATTTTGACTGGCTGGATTTCTACTAAATATTCCCTTAATATTTCCAGATTTAATTCCTATTTAAATAAACAATAATTTTAATGTTTACTTAAGATTTGTTTGCTATAGGGAAGGTTGATAGATGTGTTTTTTACTGAAATGTTGATAGCTAGGTATGTAATTATGTAATTAACAAAATTGCAAAATAAGATTAAAAAAATATATCCATACACAAGCAAACTACAGTACAAACCTATTTACAAGATTCACAATGACCCAATAAACTTAATTAGAAGTGCACTTTTCAAATCCCCTTGGAAAAGCCATAACATTCTATGTTAATTAACCTCCGAAATATGAATATTTCTATTTAAATAACCTCAATTAAACACATATTTTACAAATCACAGGGTAACTTAGAACCTCTATGACAAGTCATTTTGAGAAATCAACCTTGGTAAACACACGGCTTATATCTATGTAAAACAGTTCCCATGGAGGGGAATTCGAAAGATTGGATGTTTTGGAGGAAACGACTCAATTCAGACTAGAATACCTAAAAATCCACGCAAAACTAAATTCTATTTTACATAACACTAGTGGCTTGTAGGGACATACAGTAAGTCCCTAAAAAGCTCAAATGTAAAACAACTTTTTGCAATACCGGTATTTAAACAAACTCAGAATAACATTATCTATGTGTCAGAATAGGCATCCCTACACCATATCTTTTGTGTAAAAACCAGTTTGTTGTTCTTCTTTGTTTGCTTTTGTTGATGTCATTTTCAATAAATAATTTGAATCACTCCAGTGGTTTAACATGAAAAGGCAGCAAACATATCATTGTTTGTGAATAAATACTGGTTTACTAAGGTAGCTTTGGTCTTGTGGTTAATGAGGATAAATAAAAGCTTCTCTGTTTGGAATTTTAAAAATTCATTGGAGGTTCGCCTTCAGATGAATTGAAGACGCCTGCAATTTCATCTGCAGTAGGCTTATTATACCTACGACGATCCATATTTATCCTGTCTACAAACCTAAGTTCTAATTTACTGTCACCTTGTACAACCATTTCTTCCGAAGCTCTTTTGTAAATTTGTGCAAATGGATTTTGTAATAGAATTTCAGCTAGTTTTGACAATATTTCAGGTTTTAAGTCACTATTTTCTCGACGCCTTTGACGAATTTCTGTTGCTGTTGATGTGTCAATAATGTACAATTGGCCATACACGGGGTTTTCATCATGTTGAGGCAGCAAATCTGAGATTGAACGATAAATCTGTCCTTGAATTTTGAAACAGTATGGTCCTTTTCCTGGAATATCTTTCTTACTGGCTGAAAAATAAGCAAAAGCCATCGCACTGTTGCATTGTCGAATGAATTTATACAGTTGTGGGCTCTCTTCAAACAAACTTTTAAGTTCTACATTAGTTTTTGACTGAGGAAGGTTAATAAGTCCGTTATGGCAACATGTCATAAAATGATTATTCGTTAGTTCTTCTCTAAAATGAAGAGCACTACATTGAATGCACTCTTGGTCCAATAATCCTGCATCATGGATCTTTACATTTCTCTCGTCTACCATGGGTCTCCTAAAAAGGGGTTGTAACACATCTTGATTAAGTTCGTCATTATCTACTCTTGCTCTCCTACGCGCACTGTCATTCCTATGAACAGTTCCCCGCCTTTGTGGTATTCTCCTGGTGTTCATATTAATTACAGTACTTATAATGAAAAGAATATATATCCAGCAGCCTACATACCAAAATATCTTGAATCCCTGGTGATTTTATAAAAGTATGATTGAATATGATTACTCTACGTTGTATATTCACTGCACTAAAAAAATTTACTTACGAAGGAATGCAAATACACCATTTTAAGTCATAAGTCATAAGTCGTTTATTCAGCAAAATTAACATAAAATGCATTAGCTACGTCAACAAAACAAAATAAAATACAATATTTACATAACAAAAAAACTCTCTTGTATAAATTAAAACTGTCAACTATGCTACTATATTTACCCCACCAGTTCTAGGGCAAAGAAATTCACGAACGCTGCAGAAGGCATTATCCAGCAAAAAATTCTTTAGTTTTTTCTGAAATCTATTTAAATCCTGTTCGGTCTTTAAGGAAGGAGGAAGGTTATTGAAAAGCTTGACGGCATTGTATTGAAAGTTTTTTTGGAAGAAGGAAGTTGAGTGCTTAGGAATTGCAAGGTCGGAAGAATTACGAAGTGGATATCTATTGTTGATCTGTGAACAAAAAGAAGATATATTTTTTCTGGTGAAGGATAGTGTTTCAAAAATGTATATGGATGGGAAGGTTAGAATTCGGAATTTTTGGAAAATGTCTTTACAGGATTGTCGTTTAGGTAGGGAAAATATGATGCGGATGGCTTTCAATTGTTGTCGGAAAAGAAACTTCGTCTTTTCACTTTCACTACCCCAGACAGGGACAGCATAGGATAAATATGGATATACAAGACCATAATAAGCAGACAGGAGGACTTCTGAATTTACTGTTTGGCTAAGCATACGTAGCATGGAAATACCAACTGATATTTTTGTTGTGACATGTTTGATATGTTTGTGGTAGTTAAGATTTTCATCAAGGACCACACCAAGGAACTTAACCTCTTGACAGGGATGGATCTCATTTTCACCCAACAGTAAGCTAAATGTTCCTTGTTTTTTGTTTGTTTGATGATTTGAAATGCTAAATTGGAGAAGTTGGGTTTTTTTTGCATTTAGGACAAGATGATTATCCTCACACCATTGGAGCAGGCTATTAGATTCAAGAAAAATCGATTGCTCAAGTGTTTCTGTAGAATGACTGGATACAGTAAGAGATGTATCATCGGCAAACAGACAAATGTTTGCCTTGTTTGCGCAAGTGGGCAAGTTGTTTATAAATAGAAGGAATAAGGTCGGTCCGAGGACGGAACCCTGGGGCACACCTCTCGTGACTGAGGCGTCAGCAGAACGATGATACTTTAGAAGACCTGTTTCATCGATGGCAGGGATTGCTACATACTGCTTTCTTCCTTTAAGGTATGATGTAAACCAATCAAGAGCAATGCCTCTAATGCCAGCATCATGCATTTTTCCCAGAAGTAGACCATGGTCAACTAAGTCAAAAGCACGACTCAAGTCAATGAACATGCCAGCCACAGACTGTCCCGAATCAATGTCTTTGACTACTTTATTTATGAGGCTGAGTATGGCCTTTGTTGTGGAACTGTTCTTTACAAAGCCGTACTGTTTTCCAACTAATATATTGTGTTTCTCTAGGAAATCGCACAGCCTACTAATTACTGCTTTCTCAAAAACCTTCGAGAACGTCGAAACTAGACTTACAGGCCTGTAGTTATGGCAAGAACTTCTATCTCCGCTCTTAAAGATTGGCCTTACCAAAGACAATTTTAGCTGGCTAGGAAACTTTCCCTCGGCAAACGAGCTATTTATTATGTGACTTAACGGTGTTGAAATTAAGTCTGAGATTGACTTGATTAGTTTTGGTGATATCCCATCTACTCCAGCAGACCTTTTACTCTTAA